CTGAGTGGCTGGAACTTGGAAATATAGCTTCCAAGTGCCCTTCAAAAATCTTCCCGTCTCAACATCTTTTTACATTTTATATTTTAGAGGCAGGGTTCCACTCTGTCATCCAGGCTGGAGTGCAGTAGTGTGATCATGGCTCACTGCAGCCTCGACCTCCCAGACTCAAGTGATCCTCCCACCTCAACGTCCTGAGTAGCTGAGACTACAGTGGCATGACCTTATGCTTGGCTAATTTTTGAATTTTTTTTTTCTGTAGAGACAGGTGTCTTGTTATGTTGTCAGAGCTGGTATCAAACTCCTGGGCTCAAGCAATCATCCGTCTCAGCCTGTGTGTGGCTGGGATTACAGACATGAACCACCACACCCAGCATTGACCCAGCATCTTATTTACTTATTTTTCTTGGCACATGAGGCTCATAAAACTTGATGAGCTGACCACACTGATCAATATTGTTACTTTGTTGTCTGTCCATCTCTCTCGGATGATCTTGCTTCAAGCTTTTATTGGGTAATTAAGTCAAGCAGCTCCCCCTTGGGGGCATCTCCATTGCTCTCAGGTTTTTATATTCCTTTGTTCACACACTGAACAAACACTCATCACCCACCAAGCGTTGTGGGAAGCTTGGTGGACACAGAGTATGGTCCATCTCTGCCCGGGAGGAATTTCCAGCCCTCAGGGGAGGTTTCTGAAGAGCCTTCTATGGGCAAAGCTCAGTGGCAGGCTATTGTGAGAGGAGGAGGAGAACCAGATTTTCCCCAAGAGAATCCCCTCCTCTGAGCAGAAGCGGACGTGTCTAGGGTGGGGTGGGGGCTGGAAGCAGCCAACCTTGAGTATCCTGATCAGGACATAGTGGGTCTGCGGTGCTGTTTCTAACAACCTTGCTACGGTTAGTGTGGGACTCTGTGTCTCAGAGCCTGGCAGCCTGCAGCTCGGAAGGAGGACTTTAAATGGGAGAAGGTGCTGGAAAATATGGTAATACATAAAGAAGTAAGCTAAATTTATCCCCTCTCTCAGCACCCAGCAATTGCTGTGCTTAACGCTTAACTTTCTACCAGCATAGATTTGTTTAACCAGAAGATTAGTTGCTGGGAGAGAGAGAGATAGAGACAAAGAGAGACACAGAGAAAGACAGAGACTTTGAAGACAGACAGAAACACACACACACACACACACACACACACACACACACACACGGAGAGAACTAAGAAGATGCAGAGATAACAGCATCCTTTGGTGTGTGGCTTCAGCCAGCAGCAGGAGAGCTAGACTCAGAGAAACAGACAACCTCCTGCTCTCTTCCTCCCAGGCTACATGGCTGGCTAGAGCATTGCTAATTTCCAGACAGCACCATTTTCCGATGTGAGTACTTTGGAATGTCGACACTGTTTCCATTATCTTGTCCACTGCTTTGTTCCTGTCACCCACCCCCACCTGCGAATAGGTGAGAGTTGAGTAGATGCATAATATACTAAAGCCGCAATTAAAGTAAGCGTTATAAGACTTTAAATATGTATGCCTTTGACCTAGCATTCTCACTTGTAGGAATTTATCCTAAGGAAAATAAGTATATGGACAAAGAAGCCAGCATGAAATTGCTCATTGCATCATTATTTAGAAAAGCAATGAAACAAATGAAATAGCCAACCACTCTTGGTTTTCTGATCAATAAATTATAGTATAACCTTACAACAGCTTTCTATACTGCTTTTAAAATTAGCTTATAGGCTGGATGCAGTGGTTTGTGCCTGTAATCCCAGCACTTTGGAAGACCAAAGTGGGAGAATTGCTTGGGACCAAGAGTTCAAGACCAACCTGGGCAACATAATGAGATTCTATTATTACAAAAATAAAAAATTAGCTGGGTGTGGTGGCACATGCCTGTAGTTCCAGCTAAGGCAAGAGGATTGCTTGAACCCACCGTTCCAGGGTGCAGTGAGCTATGATGGTATCACTGCACTCCAGCCTGGGTGACAGAAAAAAACTCCATTTGAAAAAAAAAATTAGGTTATAAATGGATATTTGTTGACCTGGAAAAGCATTCACAATATATTAGGTGAAAGAAGAAAGTTACAGCCGGGCGTGGTGGCTCACGCCTGTAATCCCTACACTTAGGGAGGCCGAGGTGGGCAAATCGCAAGGTCAGGAGATTGAAAATATCTTGGCTAACACGGTGAAACCCCATCTCTACTAAAAATACAAAAAAAAAAAAAATTAGCCAGGAGTGGTGGCACCAGCCTGTAGTCCCAGCTTGGGACTGAGGCAGGAGAATCGCTTGAACTGGGGAGGCAGAGGTTGTAATGAGCTGAGATGGAGCCACTGCACTCTAGCCTGGGCAGCAGAGCCAGAGACTCCATGTCAAAAAAAAGAAAAAAAAAGAAAAAGAAAGAAAGAAAGAAAAGAAACAAGTTACAAATAGTTTATACTGTATGATCCCTAATTGTGAACAAAAACAAAATATATAGTTTGAGAAGACAGACCAAATGTTAGTCTGTAGGAGGAGGACTCCAGAACATTTTAATTTTTTTCTTTCTGCTTGTCTGCATTTTTTGTTTTTTGTTTTTTGTTTTTGTTTTTACAATGAACATGTCTGATTTTTTGTGATAAGAACAAATTTCCAGCTGGTGTGGTGGCTCATATCTGCAATCCCGGCACTTTGGGAGGCCGAGGTGGGTGGATCACCTGAGCTCAAGAGTTCCATACCAGCCTGACCAACATAGTGAAACCCCATCTCTATTAAAAAAAAATAAAATAAAATTAGCTGGGTGTGGTGGTGCATGTCTGTAATCCCAGCTACTTGGGTAGCTGAGGCAGAAGAATCACTTGAACTCAGGATGGGGAGGTGCGGTGAGCTGAGATGGTGCCACTGCATACCAGCCTGGGCAACAAGAGTGAAACTCCATCTCAAAAAAAAAAAAAAAAGAACAAATTTCCTTGCTTTCCTCCCAGGAGTGGCTCCTGCTGGGAGATGCAGATGCGTTCCTGGCTCCCAGGCATCGTGAGAAGAGCCATTAACCCTTGCCAACTGTTAAGCTGCTCATTAATAATTCTCTGCTCATTAAGAACTCCCCATCCCAATTGGTCTTACAGGCAAGACCTCAGTGACCCAACACCTTGGTATCCAAATGAGCAGTTGCTGCATCACCTGAGAGTGGTTTAGCCCCTGCCCTCCCTTGAGGGCAAACACTGTTTACCACTGTTGGCACATGGTAAGGCTAGCCTCGATAAAACTGCAGGGCCTTTCCACCTCCCAGGAGCACCCTCCCCTGTAGGAGGGTGACAGCTATGATGCTTCATTTCTCAGGGCGGTCCCTACTCCACAGAGGCAGGTATGATTCTGAAGGTTGGCAAGAAAAGGCTGTCCCCATGGCAACCCGGGCTTGCTCAGCCTTTTCATTCCTGAGATCAGTCCAACCCCCAGGGAATGAAGGTGGGGGTTTGGAGTCAGGAAAATCACTGCCTGGCTGTCTGACCTCAGGCGAGACACTTAGCTTTTCTCTGTGTCAGTTTCTGCATCTGTAAAATGGTGCTGAAGCTTCTTACTCAACTCCAGGACTGGGGTGGAATAATCTGTAAATTGCAAAACACAAGAGGAGTAAGGCATCCCTAATTTTGGCTTGTCCTCAAATTGCCATGTGACTTTGGGGAAATCAGTTGACCTCTATGTGTCTCAGCTGCTCTATTTATAAATAGGCAAGTAAGGCACACTGGTTACTTCCCAGATATATTGCAAGGTGCCTGTGAGACTCCCAGAATCTCAAAGGTGAAAGGAATCTTAGCCCTTACCACTCATGCAGGAATCTTTTTGACAAACTCTCTGACAGAGGTACTTGTCCAGCCTCTGCCTGGTTGCCTGTTGTGGCAGAACACTCATGACCACACAGCTTCTCAGGTGGCCATTTCTACATGATACTAACTGTAAGAAAGTTCTTTCATACAGCATATTATAGTACATTTTACAATTAAGTGTTTGTTTCAAAAAGTTAGCAATCCTTTTCAGAGCTATTGTCCCAGAGGCTTGCACAGGGTAGAGATGAGCAGTGGTCAGCAAAAAGCAGGTGTGCGCTCAGCTCTTGGCTTAGTGTGTTAGAAGGAGTCCGGGCTTCTGGGGTCACACATCCTAGGTTAAAATGTTGCTTTATCCGCTTCCCAACTGGCTGACACTGACCCTGGGAATGTTATATTACCTATCTGAGCCTCAGTTTCATGATCAGTAAAAGGAAGACAGAAATACCTACCTCCCAGTATTGTCAGTTAAGCACTTCTTATTAAGCTTACAACCCAGACAGACTCACCTGGTGGAATTTTTGGGACTTGGAGTGGGGAAGGTTACATCCTCCCCTGCTACCCCTTGAATAGCACATCCGCCCACTGAGCACATGGCACAGGCCAGTCTTACATACTCCATGTCTCAGGCCTGTCTCCCTCTCAGACCTGGACCAGGGCCATAAAGGAAAGATGATGCAACGGTTTCAAGACAAAGTTCCCCTCCTCCTCGTGATTCACCAGCTCCCCCTCCCTGCCCACAGACTCAGTGGGCACTAATCCCAGGGCGTCACTTGGGAACAACTTCCAACTGCACCAACGTTTTAATAGAAATCTCATACAGCACCCCAAAAATGTGGTCTGGCAGTGGACTTCCAGGCAGAGTGACAAGAAGTTGGGGAAAGCTATTTGGGGTTGGGTGAAAGTGTTCCTTTAGCCATTGATATGAAGGCATCTGTCATGCAACATCTCCTGGACAAGGGTCAGGACGCCTGGGTCCAGCTCCACCATTACCCAGCTCTGGGCTCTCTGGAGCCAGCGACTTCCTTCCGCAGAGTCTTGCTTTCCTCATGTGCAAGACTGCAGGCTGCCTCCTGGGTTTTTTCCGGGTTCCAGATTCTAGGTTTCCCCATTTGTTGGATTCAGGGATGCGTTGGAGAAATCAGCGGAGACCGCCTTGGCCCCTGGCCACTGGGTGACGCTGAACGCCCCCTCTTCTCTGCTTCCTCCGCAGATGAGTACCTCAGAGTCCTCAACGTGGGTGTGGCCGAGGTGAAGAAATCCTTCCTGGGGCCCTTGTCCCCATCCTGCAAGATGGTGCAGATGATGAGGCAGTTTCTGTACCGGGTCCTGCCTGAGGACTCCTACAAGGTCACCACAGGGAAGCTCCATGTGAGCCTCACCCGCTTCACAGACGGGGAGAGCGTGGTGGTTTCGGAGTTCACATCCAAGGAGGAGCTCATCGAGGCAAGGGGGCTGGGCCTGGAGGGAGGGCTGAGAGGGGACGTGGGAGGGCTGCTCCTGCTCACTCTGCACAGCCCAGCCCGCTGCCTCACCCGTCTGCCTCACTTCCCTAGTCCTTCCTTCCTGCATGCGCCCAGTGTGCCTCTGTGCAAGGTGCAGGATTAGATGAGATGGACACGGAAGCCCAGGACGAACCAGGCTTGACTGCCACCCTCAATGCTTCAGCCTTCACACCTCTCCCGCCCGGCCCTCTGCGCTAAGCCTGGAACTTCCCAGAGGCCCAGGGGTGACCTGCAGAGGACCGAGGTTCCTTCAAAGCCTCCCAGGCTGCGCTGCCATGCACCCACCCCCCCGAATTACTCCAAGTTTGTGGGAGCGGTCAGGGGAGAGGGCCCCCTACGTCCCCTTTCTGCCCCCTCTCTTCCAGTGCTTCTTGCTAAGGGATTGAATTACCACCAAATCAGTTCTCACTTAGAAAAGTGCCCACTGAGCCGGGCGCGGTGGCTCACGCCTGTAATCCCAGCACTTTGGGAGGCCGAGGCGGGTGGATCACGAGGTCAAGAGATCGAGACCATCCTGGTCAACATGGTGAAACCCCGTCTCTACTAAGAATACAAAAATTAGCTGGGCATGGTGGCATGTGCCTGTAATCCCAGCAACTCAGGAGGCTGAGGCAGGAGAATTGCCTGAACCCAGGAAGCGGAGGTTGCGGTGAGCCAAGATCTCGCCATTACACTCCAGCCTGGGTAACAAGAGCGAAACTCCATCTCAAAAAAAAAAAAAAAAAAAGGAAAAGTGCACACCGATCCTGAGTGCACTGCTCTAAACTCATTAATATGAATTTTAGTTATGAATAATGATTGCTGGAGAGGGCTGCAGATAAGTCCCATTGTCGTGCAGGACAAAGGGGTTAAGCAGCGTGGCCTCCATCCCATATTTCCACTCTCCTTCCTTCCCCCACATGCAGGGCCTTCGCCACCCCATCCTCATCCCATACTCGCCTGGCAGTGACCGTGGGGATGAGAGATGAGTAGGTGGTGGGCATGGACACCCGCTCCACCCCTCACGGCCCGCTGGGTTTTTCAGCAGCCAGCTCTTCCAGATCTGCCTCCTCATGCCCACCTCCGTTCTGACTTCATCTCCCACGGCGGCGGTTTTCTCTCCCCGGCCCTCTCCCCAACCTTCCACTCCTACCATGCCAACTCCAGCAAACCACACACAAGCCAGGCCTCTGGGCCTTCACACCTGCCGCTCTCTCTGCCTGGGATCCCCTCTCCCTCCCACCCTACTTCACCTGCTGCTGAAACCCAGTCCCTCCTGCCAGGGAACCTCCCTTCATCCCCTCCCACCCTGCTCGAACCCTTCCTGTGAAGTCACGGTGCCCATGCTCATCTCCACCAAGCCCCTGTCACCCCACTGCTCTGTCACCCACTTGCTCACTCCCCCGCACAGGGCACTCCCAAGCATGGACCTCTCAGCCTCCTTTGCTTCCAGGGCCTGGCCCGGGACTGACACATATTAATGGTAGTTGAATCCTACTGGATCTTTGAAAGTTCAGCATCAGAAGGGACCCTGAAGCTAATGAGCCCCCCTCCCACTTTAAAGTTGGGACGTCAGGGCCAGATGAAGCAAGTAGCTTACCAAGGACCCAACTAGTGAGGGCCAGGCCAGGAATTGAACTTGAAGCTCCGCTTCCCAGGGGGCCACCTTCACGTAGGGTTTAAGGAGGTCCAGGCTGGCGGTGGGTGGGCCAGCAGCCGACAGGTGAGCTGTGCCCGCTGCACCCCCCGCCCCGGCATCTCAGCCCTGTTCTCTCCACGCAGGCCCTGTACTGCAGCTGCTTCGTCCCCGTGTACTGCGGCCTCATCCCCCCAACTTACCGCGGTGTGGTGAGTGCTCCGGCGTGGTGAGGGGTGAGCCGGGATCCAGGGGACCTCGGGTCCCTGTAACTCACACCTGGGGGAACCAGGGGTTGGTCTCAGAATGCAGTGGGAGGACCTAGAGTCGGAAAGTTTCTCATGTTTTTGCTCAGAATTCCCAATGTAGGTGGCTTTCTGGGCCTTTAAGATGAACTTCTGGGGTGGGCTCCTCTCTGGACCCACGTATCCATTGCCGAGCCCAGCAAATCAAGGCTCCATAGGCTTGGCAGGTTTTCCCAGACTTGACAGAGCAGAGGAGATGCACCCTAAAGCACTGGGACCTGGACCCTCAAATAATGAGGACTTTTTCGGAGGCGCTCTAGGACAGGGTCTTACAGACTTTACTGTGCCCGTGAGTCACTTGGGGTCTCGTCAAACAATGCAAGTTCTGATCCAGGTGGTCTGCGCTGTGGCCCTAACCAGCCTCAGGTGCTGTTCATTCTGCCGGTGGGCGGGCTACACTCAGTGGTGATGCTCCAGCTCATGCCCCCTCCTCATTTTATATGCAGAGAAAGTCAGGGCCAGAGACTAGGATTCAGGTAGTAGATGGAGCCTGGATTGCACAGCAGCCAGCCCTGAGAGTTAGAGCCTCCGTATTTAACATCCTTCGTTCATAGGTGAGAAAACAGAAGCCCCGATGGGAAGGGGCTCGTGGGTGAACACGTGGTGGGTGGGTCTGTGGCAGAGGAGCACATCTGCTTTACCCAGAGTATGCGTCCCCTGCGCACAGAGCCCTGGGAACCCCAGTCTCAGCACCACTAAGGTAGTGGAGGCAGGATCAGTGCAGAGAAACAGCACTGGGCTGGGAGTCCAGAAGCCAGTACAGACTCACCAAGTGACCAGGGGCACACCATACACCCACCAGGACCTCTGTCTCCAGGCTTATCCTGAAGGGTCTTCTGGCCCTTCCTCGATGGGCCCTTGAAGCTGGTGCCATGTCCCATGGGCCGTTTCCATGTATTCTGAGGGGGGCTGGGAACTCTGGCCCCAGGTGAGCATTTCTGACTCTGCCCCCCACAGAGGTACATCGATGGGGGCTTCACCGGCATGCAGCCCTGTGCCTTCTGGACCGATTCCATCACCATCTCCACCTTCAGCGGGCAGCAGGACATCTGTCCCCGGGACTGCCCCGCCATCTTCCACGACTTCCGAATGTTCAACTGCTCCTTCCAGTTCTCCCTGGAGAACATCGCCAGGATGACCCATGCGTTGTTCCCCCCGGACCTGGTGGTGAGAGGCAGGAGGGGTCTGGGGAGTAGGGGAAGATACCCTGCTGGGACTAGGGGTGGGATCAGAGAGCCACTGGGGCCCACTCAAGTTCTGTCTGTGTCTCCTCCCCTCAAATGATCCCTTAAACTTCCTCCTAGACCTGCATCCTGGCCTTGCTGCTAACTGGCTATGTCACCTCGAGCAAGTCCTTTAAGCTCTTGCAGCCTCAGTATTCCCCCCGTAAAGCAAGATGATGTCGGAAGTGCTGATAGAAATGTTAACTGAACTCTTCCACTCACAGTTCATGTACCAAAGCAAGGGGCAGCAAACTACAGCCCACGGGCCAAATCCAGCCTCTGGCTTGTTCTTTACAGCCTGTGAGCTAAGAAAGGGTTTTCCATTTTTAGGGAGTTATGGGGGAGGGGGGAGAAGAAGAAGAAAAAGAACATCAGGCAGAGACTGCATGTGGCCAGCAAAGCCCAAAATAAGTATTTACTATCAGCCCTTTACAGAAAAGGCTTTGTGGGCAAGATCTCATGAAATCCGCTAGCACCCGCTGTGATCAATAGTATTACTGCCCCCATTTTATAGGTGAAGAAATTGAGGCTGTGAGAGGTGACAGCCACACAGCCAATAAGGGACAGCACAGAGACCTGAACCCAGACTCCAAACTCTGCTCTTCGTATGCCCCAAGGCACCTCCTCTGGTTCTGCCATGAGCACCCACCACTTTCCTGCCCCGAGGAGGCTGAGGATCTGCCCCAAATGGCGTCACTCGTGAACGCAGCATCACTGGGATGCGTGATCAGGAATTGCTCCCCAATTCTTCTTAGCAGATAGTGAGGGATGGAGCGCTGGATGTGTATGTTTTGAAAAGCCCGTCAAATAAAGTTCAAGAGCAATGGCAGCAGCTGCGCTGGGTCGGGGGGATGGTGGTTCCCTTCATCGCTGCAGCCTTAGTCATTCTCCGGGTGCTCCCGCCCCCAGATCCTGCACGATTACTACTATCGAGGGTACGAGGATGCAGTCTTGTACTTGAGGAGACTGAGTAAGTACCCGCGGGGCCCCAGGCGAGGGCATGTTGGGGAGAAGGAAAGTTCAAACAGTAGAAGGGCTGAAGGGAGGGGCATTCCCCCCAAATTTGTGACTGGAGACACCCTTCACCTGGGAGAACTGGAAATGCGGGTGGTGACCTAACAGGCTCTATGGCCCAGCCCAGACCGCTGGGGCCAGAAAGTAGGATCTCCATGTAAAGGGGTCTCTGGGGCTGACGAAGGGGACAGTGTCTAGGACAGTTGTACACATACGTTAATGAATTTAAAAACTCTAGGAAATCCAGAGTTCAGATCTTCCTGGAGAATTCCATTTTCATGTCATTTCATTCTCTTTCACTTGATTCTCTTTCCAGTAAAATCACCTTATTAATGTAGAACTGGACATGACCAGTTTATATTTGCATAAGACTTTGAGTGACCCATCAATCAGCAAATCACAGAGAAGAGCCCTTGCCCTCTGTAGGTTTGGAATGCTGGTCCCTCCACCTATATATTCTCTGTGTATTATCAGGGTAGAGGAAACAATTCCAATGACATGTATTTTATGTGCTAACTCCGTGGCAAACGTCTTTGTTAAGAAAAACGAACAGAACTGGGTGTGGTAGCTCATGCCTGTAATCTCAGCACTTTAGGAGGCCAAGGCAGGAAGATCGCTTGAAACCAGGAATTTGAGACCAGCCTGGATGACTGAGACTCCCATCTCTACAAAAAATTTAATAATTAGGGCCGGGCACAGTGGCTGAAGCCCGTAATCCCAGCACTTCTGGAGGCCGAGGTGGGCGGATCACAAGGTCAGGAGTTTGAGATCAGCCTGGCTAATATGGCAAAACCCCGCTTCTACTGAAAATACAAAAAAAAAATCAGCCAGGTGTAGTGGCGTGCGCTTTTAATCCCAGCTACTCAGGAGGCTGAGGCAGGAGAATCGCTTGAACCTGGGGGGCAGAGTTTGCAGTAAGCCAAGATTGCGCCACTGCACTCCAGCCTGGGCAACAGAGCGAGACTCTGTCTCAAAAACAAACAAACAAACAAACAATTAGCTTGGCAGCACGTGCCTATAGCCCCAGCTACTTGAGATCAAGGCTGCAGTGAGCCATGACTGCAACACTGTACCCCACTCTGGGCGACAGACTGAGACCCTGTCTCTAAAAAAAGAAATCAACACAAGCTTTGCCATACTTAGAATCAATTTTTTTCAGTAAAAGGGATCACTGGATCAAAGGGTTCACCTAAGGTTACATCGGAAGATTGTTCCTCGTTGCCACGTGTCTTTATGACTGTCTTTTTTTGTCAGTTGTATAATATTCCATCATAGCTATACAGAAAATTTTGCTTGATCATTCCTTTGAGTCTCCAAATGTTGGTGATTATGTCTAATTCTGTGGTAAACTTTTTGTGTACGTACCTTTAAAACTACTCTCTGGGTGAGATTAAGGGGTTGGATGAGATTTTCTTCCGAGGAGGTGTTCACTTATTTTTGCCCTTCTTCAAAATTCATTCCTGCTTCCCAAGCTCCCCTTATCCTGTCTCTGTTTTCTCCTGGGTGCTTTCTCCCAATGAGGAGTGGGGGGCGGTAGAGAGACAGGAGAGCAGGATGCAGATAAACCTGGGCTCTGGAGACAAGTAGCCCCAGGCCCCCACCCCCCACCACAAGCTGTGTGACCCTCAGGATCCTCACTTGCCCTCTCTGAGGCTTTCCTAATCTATTTAAAAAAACAGGGGAGGTTAGATCCTAGCTCCAGACACCTACTAACTCTGTGATCTTGAGCAGGTAACTAATCCCCTGGGGCCTCAGTTTCCTCATCTGTAAAAGCGGCCTAATCATGGAACCTTATGGTTTTATTTTGAAGAGTCAAGATCGAGCCCTTAGCACAATGCTCAGATAAATGGTGGCTCTCATGAGAACATCAAAATGCTGTGTCCTAGCTAGGGTCAGCCTAGCTTACCACTGGGTGAAACCTGATGGCGGCACTTCAGGAATCCGCCCCCAAAATTGAAGCAGGATGTGGGTGAGGGGCAGTTTTTTTTCAATGGCCCTGGAATCACTCCAAGTAGGGACAGAAGCAACTCAGGGAGAAATTGTCTCCTGCTGACTACCAGCTATTTTTCTTCCTCTTCCAATTTGACAGTGTACGGCACGGCTCTCTCAGCTCAGATTCCACCTCCACTACCTCAATCCTCTTGGATTTAGTGGGACTAGATTTTTCTCCCTGCATCAGATGTGAACAGGAACTACTGACATACAGTGAGAAATTGCAGTTGGTCTCCAGAGCCACACTCTTCTCCCCACCTGCCATCTGGGAACAGAAAATGGGATTCCACCCAGCCCCTGCCAGACGGCTTTCCGGGTGGGGGGTCACCTCCATCAGGAAGCTGCACCCCAAAAGGTGTCACCCCCCCGCTCCTCAGCTCACATTCTCACAGCCTCTTTCTCCTCCCTCCCAAGGCTCACATCACTTCATTATTCCTGCTGTCAGGCAAGCCCCTCTCTCCACACTCGGCCCATCCTGGCAGCAGCCTTCTGCCAAAGGGAAGGGCAGTGCACGCTGGTGTGCTTGAAAATCCACGTTCCCCACACAGATGTGTGAACGTGGGCGCTGAGTGAGGTTGGAGCTCAGAGGATGCCGTGTCTAAAATATTCATCCGGCATCGAGGCATGCCTGGCCAAACCTCTCTTCCGCCCTCCTCCCCCACTCCCTTCTTCCCTCTCACAGTTTGATAAGTCTCTCTTACACACACACACACACACACACACACACACACACACACACCCGTGAAACCATCACCACAATCAAGGTAGTGAATAATCCGCCGTCCACAAAATTTCCTCATGCCCTTTCATGATCCCTCCCACCTTCCCTCACCCCCTACTATTCTCAAGCAACCCCCATCTGCTTTCTGCCCTTATAGATTAATGTACTGTTTGTGAACTCCTTTTTAACATCTGAATTCTTTCACTCTGAATAATTATTCTGAGATGCATCCATGTTGTTGCACATATAGTTTGTTCCTTTTTACGTTCCATGCTACTGTCTTAATGGACCACAGCTCATTTACCAAAGGCGTTGAGTATACCGCTGTATGCATATACCACAGCTCATTTACCAAAGGCGTTGAATATAGCGCTGTATGCATATACCACAGCTCATTTACCAAAGGCGTTGAATATAGCGCTGTATGCATATACCACAGCTCATTTACCCACTCACTGCTGGTTATTTCCAGATTTGCGCTATTATGAATAAAGCTGCTATGAACACTCATGCCTGAGTCTGGTGTGGACATATGCCTTCCTTTCTCTTGGGTAAATACCTAGGAATGGAATGACTGGATTGCATGGTGCATGCATGTTTAACACACATACACAAATATTTTAATTGTGGTTAAAAAAACACATAACAAATGTTAAGCACACAGTTCAGTAGTCTTAACTATGTTTGTATTGCTGTGCGACAGATCTCTAGAACTTTTTCATCTTGCAAAACTGAACCTCTAGATGTGCTGATCATCAACTCCCCCTCCAGGCCCCCAGCCGCCACCATTCCACTTTCTGTGTTGATGATTCTGACTACTTTAGGTATCTCATGTAAATGGAATCATGCAGTATTTGTCTTTTTGTAAACGGCTTATTTGACTTAACAGAAATGGCCTCAAGATTCATCCATGTTGGAGCAGGTGATAGGATTTTCTTCCTTTTTAAAACTGAATATATTCCACTTTTTTTTTTTTGAGACAGGGTTTCGCTCTTGTTACTGAGGCTGGAGTGCAATGGCGCGATCTCGGCTCACCACAACCTCCGCCTCCTGGGTTCAGGCAATTCTCCTGCCTCAGCCTCCCAAGTAGCTGGGATTACAGGCACGCGCCACCGTGCCCAGCTAATCTTTTGTATTTTTAGAAGAGACGGGGTTTCACCATGTTGACCAGGACAGTCTCGATCTCTTAACCTCGTGATCTACCCGCCTCGGCCTCCCAAAGTGCTGGGATTACAGGCGTGAGCCACCGTGCCCGGCCCCCTCCACATTTTCTTTATCCATCCATCTGACAAAGGACATACGTTCCGGCTCTTGTGGATAATGCTGCAGTGCCCATGGGTGTATGTGTGTCTCTTCCAGATCCTATTTCAATTGTTTTGGATAGATAATCAGAATATATGTTTGACTTTTAAATAAACTGCCAAATCATTTTCCAAAGCAGTGGTACCACATTACATTCCCACCAGCAATGGATGAACATTTTTCCTCCAAAACTTTTGGTCTTTTGAATTAACGCTCTGAATTTTTAATTTCAGCCCTTCTAATGGGTGCGTGTCGGTAACTTACCGTGTTTTGATCTACATCCCCTCCGGACTAATGATGCTGAGCACCTCTTCACCTGCCCGTTTGCCTTCCACGGATCTTCTCTGGCGAGGCTGGCGGTCCGCTCTTTTGCACAGTTCTCACCTAGACTTTTAATAAGCTTTGTTTTTTTTGGGGTTAGTTTTAGATTTGTGGATAACTTGCGAAAACAGCCCAGGGTGTCTGTGTCACATTTGTTAGATGTTGCAGAATGGTATACATATATAACATGGTACACAATCCGGCACGTTGGTTATAACTCATGAGCCACTCTTGATATATTATTCACTTAGAGCCATTGCTTATTCAGATTTTCTTAGTTTTTACCTAATTCCTTTTCCTGTTCCGGGACTCCGCACCCAGGGATCACATTACATTTAGTCATCACGTCTCCTCAGGTTCCTCTTGCCTGTAAGTTTCTCAGACGCTTCTTATTCTTGATGACCTTGACAGAGTTGACTATCGGACAGGTATTTTGTAGAACGTCACTCCATTGGGGTTTGTCTGATGTTTTTCTCGTGATTGGGCTGGGATTGTGAGTTCTGGAGAGGAGACAACAGAGGTCAGGTGCCATTCTCATCATGTTACCTCAAGGGCACGTGATGCCCACGTGACGTATCCCTGCGGATGTTGACGGTGACCGCCTGGCTGAGGTAGCGTCTGTCAGGTTTCTGCATTGTGAAGTACCGTCCCTCAATCCCCACTGTCGTTTTGGGAAGAAAGTCACTGTGCACAGCTCATACTTAAGGAGTGAAAAGTTCTACTCCACTTCCTAAAGGGCCAAGTGTGTCTACATAAATTGTTTAGAATTCTTCTGCAGGGGAGCTTTCTCTCTTTTCCCTGATGTACTTACTTATGTAATCGTGTGTTTATGGCAGTACGGACTCTCCGATGCGCATGTTACACTTTGTGTTATTATTCAATAGCACTTCACTTTGTTCCTCAAATTGTTCCCACTTTGGCCATTGGGAGCCTTTTCAATTGGTTCTTTTACACATTTTAAAAATTGAATTGTTTTCTTATTTAAGCACTGTTATATGGTCGAGATAAATGCCCCCCCCACCACCAACCCTTTATTATTATTGTATTTTTAGTAGAGACGGGGTTTCGCCATGTTGACCAGGATGGTCTCTATCTCTTGACCTTGTGATCCACCCGCCTCGGCCTCCCAAACTGCTGGGATTACAGGCTTGAGCCACTGCGCCCAGCCACCAACCCTTTTTGAGACAGGGTCTCACTCTGTCACCCAAGCTGGAGTGTAGTGGTGCGATCATGGCTCACTGAAGCTTCGGCTTCCCAGGCTCGGGCAACCCTCTAGCCCGTCTCAATGAGTCTAACAGTCACAGTGACCTTCTCAGAACCTTACCTCCCCTGCCTAAAAGTCATGCTACAATCATATTTGCCGTGAAAACCAAGGATCCTGGCTGCTGCCTGTAGCCCTGACGTAGTCTGGCCCCTGCCGCCTTCTCAGCCCCTCCCCCAGTACAATCCCCATGCCCCACACTGAACTTTCGGACCTCCAACACCTGGTGTGTCCTCAAACCTTGTGGCCTTTGTGTGTGCTGTTCCCTCTGCTGAAACACCCTCACCACCCGCCCTGACCATCCTGCGCCACATGCCCTTCAGACCTCTGCTCACGGGCACTCCCCCAGACGAGCTGCCTCTCTCACAGCACACCTCTCCTCTCTTCCTGCGCTTGCCTCAGTCAAGACTCTAGATGATTTGAGTGGGTAACGCCTGCTCCCCTACACTACACCGTAAGTGCCAGGAACCATCAGTTTGTTTTCACTCACTATGCATTCAAGTAAGTACAGAGAGATCTTGGAAAAGCACTGATCCTGTTTAGGAAAATAACCAAGAAACCATTTTTGCAAAGGTTATGCTCCTGCCAGGGCTGAGGAGCACCCCATGCTGTTGTTTCTCCTAGATGCTGTTTATCTTAATTCTCCCTCCAAGAGAGTGATTTTCCCCCGGGTGGAAGCGTACTGCCAGATACAACTCGCCCTTGGCAATGAGTGCCCTGAACACAGTCGACCAAGCCTTCAAGCACGGCGGGCCAGTCTGGAGGGAGCCACACAACCTCACACAGAGTGGGCTCCCAAAGCCGGAGGAAGGGGCAGCCATGGTCCGCCTGCATCCTCACCTGTGCAGACACCTGAATCCACATGTGAACCACCTGTTTCACCACCAGTATCTCCACTTGAGCAGCCACCTGCACAGCCACTGGCCTCTTCAACTGGCACACCACGTGTATCATTCCCAGCTGTGCACAAGCCACCCAGCTCCACACCCGGCTCATCACTGCCCGCCACACCACCTGGGCAGTCACCTGCGTCACCTCAGCAGCAGGTACAACCATCTGGATCACCACCCAGATCCCCTCACTCTCAAGCATCCACTTCACCCAGACCATCGCTGGGGACCTCGGCTGTGGGGGCACCTCAAACACCACCCCAAGGTTTTCTTTCAGCCTCCCCTGCTCAGCCACCTGCGGAGAAACTAGGCCCAGGACAGCCCCAAGGTATGGACCCTTCTGGCTTCTTACAGCTTTCTCATGCCTGGAGCCCCTCGACAAGTGAGCAGGCCATCAGGGCTGGTAAGTGCTGCTTCAGGGGTGCATGGGTGAAGTTTGCGGTGAGCGTCAGTGGCTCTGTCCACTATGAGGACAGGCTGCCACAAGGGGGCAGTATAATGGACATTTGTTCATTCCCTTGATGCAGTGTTTCTCAAACTGCGGTGCCCCCACCGGCAGCAAAAGCAGTACCCAGGGACTTGTTAGAAATCATAATCTCAGGGCCGGGCATGGTGGCTCATGCCTGTAATCCCAGCACTTTGGGTGGCCGAGGCGGGTGGATCACGAGGTAGAGAGATCGAGACCATCCTGGTCAACATGGTGAAACCCCATCTCTACTAAAAATACAAAAAATTAGCTGGGCATGGTGGCGCGTGCCTGTAATCCCAGCTACTCAGGAGGCTGAGGCAGGAGAATTGCCTGAACCCAGGAGGCGGAGGTTGCGGTGAGCCGAGATCGCGCCATTGCACTCCAGCCTGGGTAACAAGAGCGAAACTCCGTCTCAAAAAAAAAAAAAAAAGAAAGAAATTATAATCTCAGGTTCTACCGCAGACGGACTAAATCAACTTTGGAGGTGGGGCCCAGCTGTCTTTTTTTTTTTCGGCGGAGTCTTGCTCTGTCACCAGGCTGGAGTGTGCAATGGCGCAATCTTGGCTCACTGCAACCTCTGCCTCCTTTGTTCAAGCGATTCTTCCGCCCCAGCCTCCCAAGTAGCTGGGACCACAGGCACGTGCCACCACGCCCGGCTAATTTTTGTGTGTGTGTATTTTTTTTTTTAGTAGAGACGGAGTTTCACCATGTTGGCCAGGATGGTCTCGGTCTCTTGACCTCGTGATCCGCCCGCCTTGGCCTCCCAAAGTGCTGGGATTACAGGTGTAAGCCACCGCCCCCGGCCCCCAGCTGTCTTTTTTACAAACCCTCCGGGTGATTTTTTTTGCCTGCTCACATTTGGGACCACTATGCCAGTAGCTTTTGACTGTGAAAGCCACTGTACTGGGTAGTGCTACTCAGAGTGGCCCGCAGACCAATCCAGTGCTCAAGTGTGTGTTACTAGCCCTCCATGGAGTGAGTGCAGAAATTAAGAGTAATCATTTAGAAACAGCTATGGCGCTAAGGTTGATTGCCACAAATTGATGGCCACAACATTGATTGCTTGTCCATTTTTTACTAATTCATTTGCATTGTATTTCACAAAAGTACTGGTTTGTTACAGACTGTAAAGAAAGTTTATTTAAAAAACTGGTTCCTCACTACAGATGGTTTCAGAAACACCACTATAGGGGCTGCAAAGATAAACTGTTCTCAATTCCTTACTCAGGAAATCTCCCTTTCAGCAGAGGAGATAACAAAGATACTAATCTCAAAAATACAATCAGGGGTCGTGTGTGGTGGTTCACGCCTGTAAACTCATCACTTTGGGATTCCGAGGCAGGTGGATCACATGAGATCAGGAGTTCAAGACCAGCCTGACCAACATGGTGAAACCCCCGTCTCTACTAAATACAAAAAATTAGCGGGCCATGGTGGTGCATGCCTGTAGTCCCAGCTACTTGGAGGCTGAGGCGGGAGAATTGCTTGAACCCAGGAGGTGGAGGTTGCAGGGAGCTGAGATTGCACCATTGCACTCCAGCCTGGACAACAAGAGTGAAACTCGGTTTCAAAAAAAAAAAAAATTGGAAGTATTAAGTACTGTGTAACTAACAAAAACACAGTGTTGGAGGGTATTCGTAGAGAATAAGACCACTTCTCTCTGGGAGAGTATGAAAAGCTTCTTGGAGGTTACGGGTGAGTTTAAATAGGCAGTATTTTGACCATCGTGGTTTATAGAATTGGATGGGATGGAGTAGAAAGAGCATTTCAGAGTTCGTTTATTTAAAACACTCAGGTGCAGTGCAGGAACGTCCAGGGTACTTTCAAGGTACTTTAGGAAGGAGAGGACATGTGTATGGCCACCATGGATGGTCTGGATGGGGACAGGAGAGAGAGCCAAATGAGGGACTGAAGCCAGATTGTAGAGTGCTCATGGTCCTCAGGCAAACTTCCAGAGTCCTCACAGTAAAGGTCACAGGTCGGCAATGTGTCCTCCTTGGAATCAGCCCCAAGTTGGCGGAGATGCCATTTCTTTGGAACAGATTTACTTTGACTCTTTTAATGAAACAAAAACAAGAGACCATTAAGAAAATTGGGTGGTGGCTCATGCTTTTGAGCCCAACATTTTGGGAGGCCAAGGCAGGCAAGTCGCTTTCAGTCAGGAGTTCAAGACCAGCCTAGCCAATGAGGTGAAACTCCATCTCTATTAAAAATACAGAAATTCAGCCAAGCATGGTGGCAGGCACCTGCAGTCCCAGCTACTCAAGAGGATGAAGCAGGAGGATCACTTGAACCTGGGTGGCAGAGGTTGCAGTGAGCAGAGATCGTGCCACTGCACTCCACCTGGGTGACAGAGCAAGACTCCATCTCAAAAAAAAAAAGAGTCAGATAATTGGGCACAGTGTTTTAACTGCTCTCTTATGTTAAATGCAAAACATTTGTTTTATGTTGATCACACCTGTGCACGAAGGCAGCCATCTTCAGGTACCTGAGCAATCCTGGGCCCCAAGGTGGCATTCTTCCCTCATACAGGGGGTGGACAGAGGGCACAGATAGTCTAGTGATTCTCCACTAGAAGTGATTTTGTCTCCAGGAGACATTTAGCAATGTCTGCAGACATTTTAGTTGTCACCTACTGGTTAGAGGCTGGGGACATATAAAAATATCCTGTAATACACAGAACAGTCTCTGTGCAAAACGCTCTCTGATTCTTAGTGTCAATAGCAGGTACTGAGATGGAGAAACCATGTTATAGGCACAGCTGAGCCTCAGTGGTGACATACTAGGCCATCTAAGCAAGACCCCCTAAAGCAAGCTTGTCCAACCTGCAGCCCAGGGACTGCAAGAGCCACATGTGGCCCAGGACAGCTCTTAGTGCAGTCCAACGCAAATGCATAAACTTTCTTAAAACATTATGATTTTTTTTTCTCATCAGCTATTATTACTGTTAGTATATGTTATGTGTGGCCCAAGACAATCTTCTTCCACTGTGGCCCAGGGAAGCCAGAAGATTGGACACCCCCGCCCTAGAGTTGAGTGGTATCAGTAATTTAACGATGGCCATTGGTGTTAGTGGGGAACAGGAAAATTGTTAAAAGCCCTAGGAAAATCCAAAAACAAATGGACAAGCCTCATTGTGAATAGATTTGGGGAAGCTAGGGACATACAACAGGTCTCTAACAAAATAACTACATATACTTTATATTACTTTTATTTATATATAATATATAGTTACATTTTAAACTTCAAATACTATGTACCCCCATACTCATTAAAAGCATGCAAAGTGATTGCTTCAGAACAATGGCCATGAAACTATTCATACTCTCTTCTAAGAAAAAAGAAAAAAGCATTACATGAAGTATGTGTTGGAACGTCCAGGCCCCTCCAGGGGATTTTCCTGAAAACCTTCCCTAACACGCTGCTTTCTGTGAAGGAGCTACTATTTCTTTTCTTTTCCTTCTTTTTTTTTTTTTTTTTTTTTTTTTTCTGAGACAGGATCTCACTCCCTGCTCACTGCACCCTCAAACTTCGGGTCTCAGGTGATTCTTCCACCTCAGCCTCCCAAGTAGCTGAGATTACAGGAATGCACCATCACCCCGGGCTAATTTTTGCATTTTTAGTAGAGACGGGGTTTCACCATGTTGGCCAGGCTGGTCTCCAACTCCAGGCCTCAAGTGATTCGCTCACCTTGGCCTCCCAAAGCGCTGGGATGAAAGGTGTGAACCACCACGCCCAGCCCTGGAAGCTGTTTCTAATGTTCCACCAAGGGTCCGAGTCAGCACCTCCACAGATGTGGGCCTGCATCTCAGCCAAGTCTCACAACATGACTCTGGTTGTAAAAATGAGAATTTGAGGATAAGAGAGTTTTTTTGCTGTTTTTTTTTTGTTGTTGTTGTTGTTTTTTGGTTTTTTTTTTGAGACGGGGTCTCTCTCTTGTTACCCAGGCTGGAGTGCAATGGCGCGATCTCGGCTCACCACAACCTCCGCCTCCTGGGTTCAGGCAATTCTCCTGCCTCAGCCTCCTGAGTAGCTGGGATTACAGACACGCGCCACCATGCCCAGCTAATTTTTTGTATTTTTAGTAGAGACGGGGTTTCACCATGTTGACCAGGATGGTCTCGCTCTCTTGACCTCGTGATCCACCCGCCTCGGCCTCCCAAAGTGCTGGGATTACAGGCTTGAGCCACCGCGCCCAGTCGTTTTTTTGCTGTTTTAAACATGTTCATTTACTTACTATTGCTATTTCAAAAACGACTAATATCTCCCTTCCCCATCTCACTCCCGTTTCCTCTGTTTTTACTTTTAGCTGTAGCTCCTCTTGACTCTTCAAATCCAAAAAGCACCGTGCCTCTGGTTCACGCAAAGGAAACCATCAGCAAGCCTTACGCAATGTAAGTTTCTCCTTCTTGGAGCACATTCTTTCCTTCGAGCGGGAGAAGAGAGCCCGGCTGAGCAATATCTTTCACCACTTTACCCGCCCCAGGAACCCTGGGATCCTTTTCTGGTGTGTGTGGTTGTGTGATTACAGGTCCACCCCTTTACGTCTCACAAAGCCACCTTCTCTTGCTCAGTTAGGGCAATGTGTGGGGAAGGAGCCCATCCATGCTGATGATGTCATTCTCTTCTCCTGCATGCTGAGGATGCTCCTTCTCTGAGTGCAGTGAGAGAATGTGCCTCCCCTGCCCTCATATTTTACTCTCTGGTGATGCCACAGTTCAAGAGGGCCAGCAGGCATCCTACCTCCCAGCCTTCGGTAGCTCCTGCCTGAAATGAATTGAGGGTCTCTGTCAAAGGCCTCCTTTACACCGAATTCTTTTCTTTTCTTTTTTTTTTTTTGAGACAGAGTTTCGCTCTTGTTACCCAGGCTGGAGTGCCATGGCGCGATCTCGGCTCACCGCAACCTCCGCCTCCTGGGTTCAGGCAATTCTCCTGCCTCGGCTTCCTGAGTAGCTGGGATTACAGGCGTGGGCCACCATGCCCAGCTAATTTTTGTATTTTTAGTAGAGACGGGGTTTCACCATGTTGACCAGGCTGGTCTCGATCTCTTGACCTCGTGATCCACCCGCCTCGACCTCCCAAAGTGCTGGGATTACAGGCGTGAGCCACCGTGCCCAGCCACTCCGAATTATTTTCTATTAGCATGATAATGACCTGAGAGTCCTAGGTTGTAGACTGTCCCCAGAAAATCTTTTCATTGTGTATATCAAGTGTCTGGGTTGTATAACATACACTCCATTATATCTTTGCAATAACCTTGAGAGGACCTGGGCATCTGCATTTTTTAAACTTCCCTGAGAACCACATTACCCAGGCTCCCTTGCAAGCTGAATGCTGTTTGTGCTGATGGTGGGGAAGGCACCACAGAAGATCAGAGGGTGGGTCAAGGATATTTCTCCCCACACGTCCAGCCCTCCTCTCATCCCTCCCTGCCTTGGGACCGCTCTGGCAGTGGTGGGTCTCTCCATGACCACAGCTGCAGGTATTGAGGGAGCAGGGCCCAAGGCGTTCTTTATTATGTTTCACTCTCTCTCACATCAAGCGTATTGAAATTTACCTGCTTCCCACATTAAGTATAATTTTAACTGTAAAACTTTTTGAAAGAGTTTGTATAAATTTAACAATTTTGAGCTTAGGCATAAGTTACGCATTTTATTCACGTAATTTAAACTTTTTTTGCATTTACATATAACTGTATAAAAGTCTGAGTTTCAGTTGACTCACGGGCATGATCTCACTTAGATAAATATTCATGGATTATATATTTTTTTAAAGTTTGCTGGGAAATCCTTCAGCCAGGGTTGAGAACCACAGCCTGGGTGTGTCCACCTGTGAAGCTGAGCAGGCCCCGATATTGGAGGGCCCAGGCCAGGCCCACCATGAACCATCTACTTAATCTCTTTGCCTAGGGAGAGCCCTGCTGAAGACTCAAACTGGGTGAATAAGGTCTTCAAGAAGAATAAGCAAAAGACAAGTGGGACCAGAAAAGGCTTCCCAAGACATCCTCGATCCAAAAAGCCAAGCGGCAAAGTGCAGTGAGCATGACTAATGTTCCTTAAATCCCATGGAGAGGAGCAGCTTTGGAAACTGTGTTCAGGGAGATTCCGAGGCATAGGAGGGGAGTGGAGGGAAGTCGGGGGTGCGGAGGGAGATTGGGCTTTGAAACAGACACATCTGACATAAAATCCTGCTCTGCCACAACTCCACTCAAGGATCATGGGTGGAATACTAGCTCTCCCTGAGCCTCCTTTTCCTGTAAAATGGGGATGATACCACTTCATAAGGCTGTGAGAGTTTAATGTGATCAGCAATGTAAATTGCTCCATAGAGTGCAGAATGCATAATAGCTCACAATAAGTCGGTATTACATTTAAATGATTCCCAGAGGTTAACTGGCTACCTCCCAGCTTCTGAAGAGTTGCTGCTTAATAACAAAACCAGACAGGCTGGGTGCGGTGGCGCACGCCTGTAATCCCAGCACTTTGGGAGGCTGAGGCAGGTGGATCACCTGAGGTCAGGAGTTCGAGACCAGCCTGGCCAACATGTGAAGCCCTATATCTACTAAAAATACAAAAATTAGCTGGGCATGATGGCATGCACCTGTAATCTCAGCTACTTGGGAGGCTGAGGCAGGAGACTTGCTTGAACCTGGGTGGTGGAGGTTGCGGTGTGCCGAGATTGCACCATTGCACTCCAACCTGGACAACAGGAGTGAAACTCCACCTTGAAAAAAAACAAAACAAAACAAAACTAGACAAGCGAGTGCCTATGTGACATTCAACTCCTGCCTGCATACAGTTCGCGGCCCTCGTCAATGTAGGCCTGCTTCTTAGAGCTTTTTGACTGTATTATGTTGTCTTTGACTTAGTCAGTCAGCACTTACTGAGGACCTACTAAGTGCCAAACGCTCTCCTGGACTCTATCCCCAAGTTTCAACAATTTACTCCTAGTCTAACCTTAAACAAAGATAAAAATAAGACCGAGGAATTTGATGAACTTTGAGCCCCACCTAAATGAAGTTTTATTTTATTTTTTATTTATTTATTTATTTTTTTTGAGACGGAGTTTCGCTTTCGTTGCTCAGGCTGGAGTGCAATGGCGCGATCTCAGCTCACCGCAACCTCCGCCTCCTGGGTTCAGGCAATTCTCCTGCCTCAGCCTCCTGAGTAGCTGGGATTACAGGCACGCGCCACCATGCCCAGCTAATTTTTGTATTTTTAGTAGAGACGGGGTTTCACCATGTTGACCAGGATGGTCTCGATCTCTTGACCTCGTGATCCACCCGCCTCGGCCTCCCAAAGTGCTGGGATTACAGGCTTGAGCCACCGCGCCCGGCAAGTTTTAATTTTTTTACTGAGTCATCGTATTTTAATTAAAGCCTCCTGCGTATATACAAACACACTCACAAATTCAAAATGACAGCCTCAAATTCAAACCCAAGCCGAGTATTGTTTACAGTTATTTCACTGGGTCATCAAAGTATTCTTTGAATTGACCAGGCATGGTGGCATGTGCCTGTAGTCCCAGCTATTTGGGAAGCTGAGGCAGGAGGATAGCTTGAGCCCAGGAGTTGGAGTCTGGCCTGGGCAACATAGTTTTCTCTCAGTGGAAGAGACCCACACTAGTATTTCATTTACTTCAAGTCTTTGTTGTTCAGAAAAATCTCTAATCATTCTGAGCAACATCTTCCTGGTTCTTTCTTGTCCCAAGTGGGATCCCTGGACAGGCACAGGGATTTATCAGACAGACAAGGGTCAGAGGCTCACCCGGTGACTAAAGGCCCACCTAGAAGTCTAAGCAATGCACTTGGTGAGTGGTGGGAAGCAGGATGGTAGGAGAGTCTTAGAGCTGCTGCAGGAAGTGGGACAAACCATGTTTTTTTCTGGATGACAGGTGGGTAAGGGAGGGTGCAGGATGGTAGCTAGAGGTCCCTGGGTTCATGGGATCAATAGTCCCACCCTGGGATCCTTCTCATTCATTCTTGATCTCCAGCCCCAACACGTCCCTGACCTTTGAGTGATCTTATCTCTCCATTTTTTTTTTTTTTTTTTTTTTTTTAACAGACGAGGTTTCACCATGTTGTTGGTCAGGCTAGTCTTGAACTCCTGACCTCAGGTGATCCACCCGCCTCAGCCTCCCAAAGTGCTGGGATTACAGGCTTGAGCCACCACGCCCGGCCTGAGTGACCTTATCTCTGTCCCTAGGAGCTCATGGTCAAGTTCGGCAGGAAGCCAGGCGGGTCTCTGGTGGGTGTGGGGAGCTTCCCTGGGGCTAGGAGCACTATCGGAAGCCAAGCCCAGTGTCCAGTTCCTTGATTCCAGGGCCAGCTCTCTTCCCACTGCGGCAGAGCAGCGGGAACCATGCAGTTCCGTAAGAGCCACTTTGATTGACAAACCTTCTGGGAATGAAGGTGCTTTACAAAGAAGCAGGCTATGATAAAACACAAACAAGACAACATTCGTAAACTGTGGGAAGCACTGCTGTCATTGGGCCACACCTCCTGCACCAGGCAGGTGGTTGTCTGCTGCCTTCCTTTACACAACAGATGATGAGCCTGCCTGGAGGCGGCGGTTTACCAGTTGATGATCCCAAGCAATTCCGAAGGCTGGGGCAGCAGGTAGACAAGAGAAGCTCAATGTTAGGGATAGAGAAGGGGGAGTGATTCAGGAAGAAGAGAAATCTGCTCATTTCCTCCCAAACTGCAACCGCTGTCACATCCATGGGCTAGTCCTGTACAAACTTCTGGTCCCCAGCTGATGTCCCTGCTGACAAGCAGAGAGAGATGCTAGAACAAAAGCCAAAGGGTAGATGTCCCATGCATGAATCAGTGTTGTTTTTTAATCAGAGGTCGAAATTCATACTCTGATGCAGACTGCATTAGTCAGTTATTGCTGCTATGATAACACTGCATAACAAACATCCCCCCAATTCTCAGTGGATTGCAATGACATTTATGTTTCTCTTTCATGGGCCTGTGTGTTGGCTGGGATAGCTCTGCTTAGGCTGCAGGCTGGGTCAAGTCTGCTCCCGGCTGCTTTCATTCCAGGACCAGCAGTGAAGTCAGCAGTAATATCAGCCTCCGGAGCATGGCTGGGTGTACGCATCAGCCTTGCTTTCCTCTGCTAGCCTTGGCTCTCCTCCAGTAAGAGAGTAAGAGTTCAGTGGTATCTGACTCTGGGTTGCGTCACTGGCCTCAAAGTGAAGAGACAGAGTGAGAAATTGAGAGACTGCCTGCAGGCTACAAATGGAGAAGGAGGACCCTATCCTGCCCCCAAATCCTCCTAATTGCCGCCAAGTCTGTGACACCAAGTTTCCACCATAAGAGATCCTTTTCTTTGGGTTTCTATGGAATTTCCCCCATTCCAATATGAATGTAATAATAATAGCTCCAACTCACATAGTACTTATGTGCCCAGCACCACAGCACAAAAACATGCCCAAAGTTACACTGTGGTAGGTGGCAGAGCCAGGATCCCGATCCAGGTTTTCTGTCACCAGTGTCTTGACGTTCCAACTTAGTGATATGGCCTACGAGGGCGGTGGGAGCACTGGAGTGGGAGTCAGAAGTCACAGGGGTTAGCACTGGTTTCTCCGTTCTGGCGAGTCTTAGTGGGAGTTTCTCTCTCTATAACACCAACTCTGCCTTCAACCTATGGTTATTTGGGACTTAAATGAGAAGCTGAATGTGGAAGCATCCTGTGGAATTCTAGGTAGCAAAGACATGTCAGGACCTTATGACTAGTGCCCAGGCCTGTGTGGGACATTTGGGAGGGTCCTGGGGCAGTGTGTAGGACTGGGGCACCAAGAGAAAGGAGCAGAGATAGCGTATCTGAATGCATGGTTCCTCCTAAGAGCTTGTTAGGAATGCAGATTCTTGGGCCCACCCTGCACCTACTGAATCAGAAACGGAGCTGGGGCCCGGCAGCGTGTATCTTACATAACCCACCAGACGACCGATGCACGCCGGAGTTTGACAACCACTGGATTACTGTAGAATAGAAGCACAGAGGAGAGGCAGCTAATTCACTCTGTTAGCTTGGGGATCTCAAGGAAGGCTCCCGGCGGAAGTGAGGAAGATGAGCAGAAGTTAGTCAGACTGAGAATGGGGGGTATAGGAGAGTATTCCAGAAACATGGGATGGCCCAGAACAAGGAAATGGTCTATGCAAGCAGTTAACTGTGGTTGCAAGGGAGGTAGAGGAGAGGCCTGGAAGTGAACTTGGTGATGTGACAGAAGGTAGGCCAAGCTGGCTTGGACGACCGGCCAATGCGGTTGGACTTCCTGTGTGCTGCTGGGGAGTCATTGCAGGGTCTAGGCGACAGAATGATAGATTTGAAGATTATGGAGATTTGAAAGTATCCAAGAACGTACATGTCCACATCCCAGCCTTTCTCTGGTCTCCACAAGTGTCTTCCTCCAATTTCCTAGAGAGGGCAAGTAACTTGCCCAAAGTCACACAGCAGGTCGGGGCAGGGCTTGGAAGTGAGGTCTTCTGATTCCCCCGTTGTCTCCCTCCTTTTCACCGGTGCTTCCTCGGCTTCTCCCATCCAGTTCTGCTCCCTGCCCACTTGACGTCCCTCTGTTCTCCACTTCTGAGACAGTTTGGGTCACCTACAGACCTCATCCTAGCCGGATCCAGGAATGCAGCCGCCCTGAGGTACGGAATCCCTTAGAATGACCTTGGAAGGCAGACACTGCCTGTCCTCTTCTGAGATGCTGTGGCGACGCCTGGGTCTCATTGATCCAGCTCCTTTTCTTCTCCCATCTTTCCCTTCCGGGTCACAGTCAGGGTCAACACTAGCCAGGCAGCACCTCGTGTGCTGAGAAAACAGCACCCCTTCCTGGAGAACCTGACTACCAGCTGCTGGAAAACTGTCGTAATATACTGATTTCGTTAGAACAACACACTTGACTGCCAACTGCTAGAAAACTACAAAGAACATGCAAAGACATGCATAAGTCTATGAATTGCCGACCCCCTTTACATGGCACTGTACCCGTATGTAATGTAAAATCTGCACAACTGTAGTCAGCCATCTAGAGACCACTCCGGCCCTATTCCCTTCTTAAAAAACCAAGTATCAGTTGAATTTGCACAAATGGGATGATGTTTCAAACATCCTTTTATCACCTCCCACTGGAGATTACATATGCCAGCAGCAAAAGACCCTTGTGTAATAAAATGAACCCCCTCATCGGCTTTTGGCGTAACTTGAGATTTCTAATTTCCATGCATTGGCTGTAAAAGGCCTGGCTACTTGTTCAGGGCCGCCCAAGGCGTATGAACCTGTAAGGGAGATCCTCGGCGGAATTAACGTTAGTAAAGTCCTAGATGCGGAACTCAGAAATGACAAATCTGTCCTTTTCCTAGGAAGCTGTGAGCCGAGAGAGAGAACCCGAGACGGCACGGGAGAGAACCTGAGGACCCTGAGGCCGAGTCTGCTCCCCACGGCTGTCGGGCACAGTCCCCTGACCAGAGGACCAGAGGCTACACCTACTGCCAGTCCTGATGGTGCCCAGGATCTGTTTCCCTTCCAGGGTGAGCATCTCAGCCTCCCTGTGATCCTTCCGGCCCTTCCACTTCCCTTCTCTGGACAGACTGATGGACGCCAGCACTGACCGGCGCTCACGGACCTTCCTCCCAACCTTGGCCTGAGCTCGCTTCTTTGAGATGGGCCAGATCGCTTCTAGTCTCCCCAGGATCCTGTCCAAGGGCACAGCTCTTGGGGGCCCAGCAGGACTGAGCCCACGACACACTCCCTCGCTCCCGCAGTGGCAGGAGCCCAAGTTCTGTTTGGTTTTTAATTCTCACAGTGTACTGATGGCTTGACCTCAGCTTGTCACTGGAATCGCTGGCTGAAGTTGGTCCGGCAGCCCAGGCATCAAGGTCTTTAGAGCTCCTCCGGGATTACATGGTGCTGCAGTGCTGAGACAGGCAGCCCTAGAGTCCTGGGTGCCTGTAGAGGAAGAGGGAGGCCAAATGTCCCTCCCCAGCAGCTAACACAAATGAGGGTTGACCCTGTCTGCTGTTCACACCTCAGTGAAAATGTTCCATGGGGAAGACAACTTCAGCCTCAATTTTTTCTAACCTGTCCAGAAAATAATTAGCCCCTTACTGCTCCCCAGAGGGCAGACCACCTCCATTCCCAGCGGGGCCCAGCAAGGAAGCCCCAGCTGCCCACAGGCCTCAGGGGCATTTGCTTACCAAATGCTGAAATGCAAAACCCAGACTGAAGGCGTGGAGGACAATGCTAACCGGGTCTTAGGAGCCTGAGGAGGCCATATGCAAATTTAAGCCTGGTGGGGTTGGGGATTTAGGCGGTTAGGGTACAGAGGCTTCAAGGGATCCTACTTAATCGGGCCATTTCAGGGAACAAAATGTACCTTTGTGAGGCCTGAGAAGGGTCAAAGTCCCAGGGGTCTTGCATCCTCTGACTACTCTGGTTGATCTGTGGCCAGACCAGTCAAAGGAAGCAGCTGCAGGTATGTGTTGAGGGGAGACTGACTGGAGAGGCCTGCCTAGCCAGAGGAGTGGCCTCCATGTTTGCAGAAGCCTGATGCCTGGGAACCAGAGAGAGCGGGTGTCCTTTCCTGCACAGCCCCGGAATGCTAATTCCCTGGGACCCAAGGAAAATGTGAACTTCATAATAATTATTGTTTTAATTCAAAGTCTGTAGTTAGAGGCCAGAGGCTCTCAATGTCAGTTATATTAAAGTATTAATGCATCCACTTGCATATTTCCCTTCTCTTGAGCTAATTATTTTTCTTGTTTGAAGATAATTAAAATAATTGTTCTTACATGAGTTTCAGAGTTGCCAGATAAAATAGAAGACATTTTGTTAAATTTGAATTTCAGATAAACGATGAATAATTATTTAGTGGAAATATGTCCTCAATATCGCAATTATTTATAATTTATCTGAAATTCAAGTTTAACTGGGTCTCCTGTATTTTTATGTGTTAGATCTGGCAACCTGAATTAGCTTCTTTCTCTTTTTTCTTTTTTTTTTTTCTAATCAACACGAACGGATTATTTGTTACATGCCAGCCACTGTTTTCTTTGAAACTGGGCGGCCTCAGTTGTGCCCAGGGCAATGCCAGGATGCTCTCTTTTCTTCCAGACAAGCACCTCTGACTGATACCCACAGCACAACCCCCACTGTAACCCAGCCAACACCTCTAGCTCAACCAGTTCTCAGCTGACCCCATTATCTTTGACTCACCCACTTAGGCGTCTGACTTCTCAGAGGGAGGGAATTGGGTTAATTATGTCATGATGTCACTTGCCTACCTTTTTACAGCCGCGCAAAGCAGCAGGAACTCCCATGCACCTCAATGCTCTTGTAAAAACCGTCTATGTTACTCTACATACTTCTCAGCACTTGGGGGGAACAAAACCCCAAAAACATCTATGGTGGGAGTTGAGGGCCCCCACTCATCCCCAGCATCCTAACATGGTGCCCTATATTCATATTGGCTCAAAAGCTCCATAACTAGTGGGGTCTGTAAGCATCCTGAGGGCAGGGGTTGTGTCTTTTGCATTTGTTTCTACCACGCAGTTAGCATCAGAACCGGAACATAGTAAGTGCTCAATAAACATTGGTTGAATAAAGGAGCTAATGGATTAGATCATAACTGGAGGCAAGGACACTAAAATAGGAGTTCTCAGAGCCTGGTCCTGGCTGGGTTCTGTCTGTATCTGGCTGTGTGACCGTGAACAAGGCACTTCCCCACTGAGAGCCTCTGTTTCCTCATCTGTTAGGGGAGGCTAATGATGCTGCCTCCTCCTGCTCTCCTTGGAGCATTAAGGTGAGACTTCAGGGGTTGAGGAACAGACACTCAGGTGTCACCTGAGAGAGGAGAAAGGACGTCATCAATGTCTCCCTAGAGACCACGTTTTATGGTCCAAAAACCTGGCACTGTATTCTAACAATTTTTTATCTTGGCTCTGTGGGACAGAATTTAAGCCCCAGATTTTGGGGACTAGTAAGAGGCAAGGTAGAATCAGTACTGCTCTCTATTTTCCTGTACATACAATGAACTGTCACACTGAGAGTCACTGTGTTGTAGAATGTCAGGTCTGGAGGGCAAGTATTTTGTCCCCAGGATCACCCAGCCTGGGGCCAGCTGAATTAAAACCCAGGTCTCCTGACACCTAACCCAGGACACTGTTTAACTGCATCTACAAGCTGGCGCTCCAAGGATGGGACACCTGGAGGGATCCAGGCAGTGACAAGGAGGCCAACCCCCACAGCCTTGCAGGACCAGACTGTCATAGATGTGGCAGGTGGGTATCTGTCTTGCCTCCATAGTGAATAACTCAGATAACACCTTTGTGCAGGTTAATTTATTTGCTCAAATAACACAGTACAAAAATGAAACTCAGATGCCAGCATCACGAGCGCATACCAAATATTCATAGAGCTTAAAGAACATCGTTCCAAATAAGAAACTGTGTACAGAAGTTTCCTGACCTTCATTTCATAACTTCTTCTGATCCTTCACATTTGGGTGCTAAGAACATGAACACTGCCTAAACAAATCCACAAAGAGCTCACCTCTCCCCCACTTCTCCGAAGCAGCAATAAAAACTAAATGGCTTTCCAGATAGGCTGAGTTGAGCTTACTAAGCTGGTGCCTCTGGTTGGAGGCCCCCCCTCATGTAAGCGCCATAGGCTTCCCCACCCTAGGCTGCTTCTCCTCCCTAGTCCTACGCAGTGGTCCTACAACAGGTTCAACATGGCAATGCCATGTCCCCAATTGTCACAAGATCGTACTTGCTATCCGGGTTTAACACCCTCTCCCCCATGACCACAGGTTCTGGGCAGCGTCCACAGGAGCCAGACGTCCATCTGCAATTTTGTCCATGTTGCACATAGATATGAGCATGGGGCAACTTTCACACCCGAGTCAAGCTGTCGACACTGTGGAGCTATACAGAAGGCAGAGCCTCTGGCACCCCGCAGCTCACCTTTGTGCAAATATGAAAACACATCCCTTTTCTCAAGACATTGTACTGCCACCAGCTGGAAAACTGTCATCATACATCTACAAATCCACAATGTCTAGGATGTGAATAGCACCTCCCAGAGTATGGTGCTCTTGAGCAGTGCGCCCCTGTGCAACAATCCATGGCAGGCCAGCCCACTGAAGCCCTCCTCCACTTCCTGAAAACTACCTAGTACATACATGGACCTGGCACTATGTAATCTGCAGAACTCTGCACATCCATTTTCTCACTGACTCTTAGCCAACCCCATGAGATGGGAGAGGGGCAGGGTATCAGCTCCATTAACACAGGGTTAGAAGGATTCTGAGAGACCAAGCGTCCTCAGTGTCCAGGTCTTTCCATTTGGGGCCTGCAGAGTTCCTAGGAGGCATCTACAAAGTCATATGAGCATGAAGAACGACTGGTCAGCCGGGCGCGGTGGCTCACGCCTGTAATCCCAGCACTCTGGGAGGCCGAGGCGGGTGGATCACGAGGTCAAGAGATCGAGACCATCCTGGTCAACAGGGTGAAACCCCGTCTCTACTAAAAACACACACACAAAAAAATTAGCTGGGCATGGTGGTGCGTGCCTGTAATCCCAGCTACTCAGGAGGCTGAGACAGGAGAATTGCCTGAACCCAGGAGGCGGAGGTTGCGGTGAGCCGAGATCGCGCCACTGCACTCCGGCCTGGGTAACAAGAGCGAAACGCCGTCTCAAAAAAAATAAATAAATAAAAATGAAAGAATGACTGGTCAACTGAAGAAATGACGGGATACATTTAGATGCACATCTGTTTGGATACATGTGGATGTTCTGGTTAGAGATTAAATAAAAACTTAGTTTAAAAACTAGACTCAGTTAAAACTAACATCTGAGAAAATGTCAGTAGGCCTTCTGGGTGAGATCCTAGACTCCAGAGTCTGGAGAGGAGCAGGGACACGTAGAGGGTCACAGAGCAGGTCTGGAGTAGGTTCGGCAGGTGGAACCCTGGTCTCTTCACTCTCAGGCCAGTGCTGATTTCTCCAGACACGGCATCTGTGTCTTGCCTTGCGGAAGAGTCCTTAGTGCTTCTCAGATCCTAGAGTATGGACCCAGAATGGTTGTCTGCTCTTGTCTTCCATCATGTTTGTAAAGCAAGGATTGGGCTGTCATAGAGCGTCTTCAGGGTCTCCTGGCTAAAGCTGCCAACCGTTCGGCTAGTTCAAGGAATCTGAGTGCAAGACACAGCTTTCAATCTGGACTTAGAATCTCAGGACTTTCGATGCTCTGGGAAGAGAAAAAGAACCTCCGTGTTAGCCATGGCCCAATTGTTTACGGGTTCCACTCTGGAAACAACAGACATCCCATCATCCCATCGACACCCCACCCCAGCCTCCGTCTCTGGGCCTTTGTTCTCGCAACACCTCCTGGGGACATTGCTCTCGTGACCTTTTCTCCCCAGGCAGCCTCCCATTCTCAAAGGTCAAAATCAGCACCTCCACCTCCTGGAAGGTTTGCAGGACCAACTTGCTTCACGGGCCTCAGCTACCACTCATTTGGCCTTCGGTTGCTATTTAATGTTGTCATCAAACAGTTGTCTTTTCCATTAGCAGATGCAGCCTTTGCAGGCAGAGCCTTCTACAGAGCCTCACGGCACTTTGTACAACCAAGCGCATAAGAGGCTGTCAATAGCTACCAGATGAATGAATGAATGAATGAATGAATGAATGAATGGTTAGTAAAACCAGAAGATGGAGTCAGGGCAACTGAGGATGTCAGACCGATGTTTCTGTAATATCTTTCACGAAGAACTCAGATCACTCTGTAAGCTATTACCTAACCCACCCTAGAAGCCAAATTATCTGTAACATTCCTGTTCTCTAGGAGAAGCCAGTGAAGCCAAGAAGAGAGGAGTCTAAGGTAGGGAGGATTTCCCACCAGGAAAATGAGCCAAAGTAGAGCAGAGTATTCGAATGACAAGATACAACTATCATGAAATAAGCCAGCCTTCTTGAGAGACTTTTTAAATGGCATCTAAAGGTAGTTTCAAGAAAGACAGAAGTGTTTTGGGTGATAGTAGCATCACTGCAAAAGGGTCTGGTTTCCCAGGGGACCACTTGGATGTAGACGTTCTGGTCCTGTTTATCCAACACCAGCAAACAGAACATTTCATTCCTCCGAAGTCACACCTTCATGCAGTGGCTTCTAACCTGGTGGGTCTGGGTCAAATGTTTGTAAGCAGGTTATGTTAAGTGAATTAGAAAAGGATGAAGAAATCTTTATCAGAGTCCACCAGAAAACATGTGAGCTCATGATTTTTAAAAAATCAGGCCAGGTGGCCGGGCACGGTGGAGTGCCCATAGTCCCAGCACTTTGGGAGGCTGAGGCGGGCAGATCACCTGAGGTCAGGAGGTCGACACCAGCCTGACCAACATGGAGAAACCCCGTCTCTACTAAAAATACCCCCAAAAATTAGCTGGGTATGGTGACACATGCCTGTAATCCCAGCTTCTCAGGAGGCTGAGGCAGGGAAATCACTTGAACCCAGCAGGCAGAGGTTGCAATGAGCCGAGATCATGCCATTGCACCCCAGACTGAGCAACAAGAGCCAAACTCCATCTCAAAAAAAAAAAAAAAAAAAATCAGGCCAGGTGTGGTGGTTCATGCCTGTAATCCCAGCACTTTGGGAGGCCAAAATGAGAAGATTGCTTGAGGCCAGGAGTTCAAAACCAGCCTGGTCAACATAGGGAGAATCCATCTCTATACCAAAAAAAATTATTTTTAATTAGCTAGTCATGGTGGCATGCACCTGCAGCCCCAGCTACTTGAGAGGCTGAGGTGGGAGGATCACCTGAGCCCAGTGAGGTTGAGTTTGCAGTGAACTGTGATTGCACCAGTGTACTCCAGCCTGGGTGACAGAGCAAGACCCTGGCTCAAAAACAAGCAAAAAGCCAGTGACAATTATCATCTCTGAAGGGAATGTCTCAGAGACTTAGGGGAAAGGAAATTATTAGGAAAAGTGTGAATGCACTCAGAACAGTGAAGGTGACGGCAGGAGAGAGGCTGTTCATTAAGCAACCAAGGCCAGGTCACTGAGTGATCGCCTCCTGGAAGCCTTTCAGAACCAACAGCCTCATGAAACCTTCTCATCTACCTCAGCCACCCCTTATTTGATAGATAACCTTACTTTGTTGTTTACATTTTATGATAGCCTAGAATTGAGAAGCCAAGCAACAGGGCCCACAAAATAATAAATAAGGCAAGCTAAGATCGTAGCCAGTCCAATATGCCATTCTATCAAAAAGCATGGAAAGGTACATGTAATTGAAAACTAGAGCCAAATAAAGATGCTAATTATGGAGTAAAATCAGTGAGGTTTCAGAAAAAAAGAAGGTCTTCATGGTTTAGAATTGTCTCAGAAGGCCTCAGTGAGGAGGTGGCATTTGAGATAGACCCAAAAATTCTGAACTGAGCAGCAGAGGGGAGAGGAGAATAAGTAGATGCCACTGGAGGCCAGCTGTGAGCCTGCTGTCACTCGTGCCATGTCACCATCGTCTTCCCTGCCTTTGCTCACCGGCTGGTCCTCCCTGTCTGGGAAGTGGGTGCAATTGTAGTGGTCTCTTAGGCCCATGAGGATGCAGATGGCATGGCTCTTGTTGCCAGCAAATTTGTCAGCCAAGCGAACGTCAAACTGGTAGAGTCTCCTGGCGAGGTTCCTGTCCCACTGAGAGGAATGGGGCACCTGGCTGTGTAGGGTGGCTAACAGCTTGCTGAGGGAGGAGTCCGAGAACTTGTAAAAATACCTCTTAAAGCTGGGGTGGCGCCTGATCTGGAAGCGGAAATGAAAGTAGGTCATTAGTGTTACTGGCAGCACCCCTCCCGCCAACTTCTCCCTACCCTCCCCCCGCAACTCCACGCAGCCACGCGGGACACCCCACATCCCAGGGATGAGCTCTCTTGTTACATCCCTCCACTGCCCCAGCCTCTCAGAATCTGTTCTGCAAGGTCCAGCTCAAAGCAGCAGGACAGAGTAGAGGGTGAGGATGGAAGTACAGGTCTTTAGACTCAGGTAATTCAGAAGTAAACAGCCCACAGAGCCTTCTTGTCTACGCTAGCCACTACTTATTTCACAGATTATCTTACTTTATTATTTCAATGTATGACAGTCTAGAATTGGGACGCTTAAGTTGCACTCACTAGGTGTGTGAGCCTCTGGTCATCTGCAAATGTAAAATACCGACCCAGCCCCAGGACTGTTGGGGCGGAGGGGTGAGTTAAATGAAAGAGTTTATATAAAATGTTTAGTGCAGAGTAGATGTTGGATGAATTTTAGTTCCAAGCCGCCTCCAACAAACTCCTGTCTCTTAATAACTAAATGAGTTCCCCAGAGGCAGACCCAGACACAAGGACTCGGGTAAAGGCAATTTATTGATTAAATGACCCAGGGAAATGCTGAAGGGGGAATGAGACCTGGAACAAGAACGGGAAGGCGGCCCAGGGGGTGGCAGCTAGAGCTTAATCTGCTCAGGGCACCTTGGGAGCGAGCCGAGAACACATTCCTCAGCTATGCCCCATAAAGGCGAGGGAGCTGGGGTTTATCCACCAATTCCCATCAGCCATTGGTTGAGGGCTGCTCATGGGGAAGTAGAGGCTGTTAATTCGGCACCCAAATGGATTACAAAATGGCCCTGGGTCCTCAGGCAAAAGGAGGCAGGGGCTGGCAGCTGGATGAGTCAGTGCACACTCTGGTGGTGAAGAGAGCGTCAGCTATGCTGATTACTCATCTTTAACCTGACCTCTTCACCTGTGATCTGTGCTTGTCTCTCCAAATAGACTGTGTTTTCTAAGGCTGGGGAACCTTCTGTTACAGACTGCCTAGCAGGGACGGAAAGTCAGCAAGCTTGAAAGAATGGGAGACCATATGAACGGTGACGTGTACAGCAAGGCCAAGAGTGAACCCAGAGACCACAGGGAATGGAGTCAGCCAGACAGGTGAGGCCAGGTGTGGGCAGAGGAGGCTGCCAGGGATGGGGGACATGAGCCAAACTTCAATGGCTGATTTGGATAGGAGTGGTCCTGGCTGGCGGGGGAGCCGCGTGAGCATTGGATTCTTTTAAACAGTTCCCTCATCTGCTGCATGTCTGGTATTTTCTACATATGCACTAAGCTTGGACGAGTAGGTAATTATCTCTCATTTTGAAAAAGAGGAAACTGAGGCTCAGAGAGGTTAAGGGATATTCTCAAAGTTGCCCAGAGATGCAGACTTGGGGATGGAACCCAGGTCTCAGTTGTGGGTAGATGAGGCCCTGGGGCTGGCCTGGGGAAGGCTGAGTGGTGCTCACCTGCTGCCCCAGTTGGCCATCTGCTTCTTGGAGAAGCGCCACCAGCTTCAGGATGATGAGCTCCTCTAAGGAAAAGAAAAGATTGAGTGACTATTGACTGGGTGACGCCCAGTTCCCTTCCAAAAACGAAGTGCTGCAACAACACGCCCACCTGTGAAAGAGTATTCTCTCTCTAAAACTCCGCACACACATTAGCTATGATGGATTAAGAAAATTCTTGCCTTAAACTAGAGCCGGAGCGTGAGAGCTTTGCTTGGGTTCCCTTTATAGAAATAGAAGGGACTCTCTTGCTGGGCCTCACCTGTAACCACATTCAGCTCTATTTGATAGGTGGGAAACTGAGGCCTCCCAGTGTCCCTTATCCAGGCTACAGAGTAGCCCAGTCAAGAATGGGAGTTTGGACTAGAGGCAGTGCATCAGAATACAGGGAGGAGACGTGCCAGGGCTACTGACCCTTTGGGAATGCACCCATCCACCTGGGTTCTAAGCAGAGGTATGCCAGAGCCTGCTTGTACTAAGTTCACTGTAACTATTCAGGAAATTTGTAGACTAGTTGTTTTGTTTTGTTTTAGACAGAGTCTCACTTTGCCATCCAGGCTGGAGTGCAGTGGGCGCAACCTCTGCTCACTGCAACTTCCACCTCCCGGGTCCAAGTGATTCTCCTGCCTCAGCCTCCCAAGTAGCTGGGATTACAAGTTCCCACCACCTCGCCCAGCTAATTAATTTGTGGACTAGTTGTCATAAACTGTTGGCAGTTGAAATCAGCCGAGGTAAAAAATATTTATGCCATGGAAATCTGCAAAGGTTACAAAATAGGGCATCCCTCTCCCAGTGGAGAGCCCGTCTGCCAGCACACCACTGCTTATGAGACCTGGAGCAAGCTAGGACTTTCCTAAGAAGCATTCAAGCAAACTAACGGAGGGTGTTAATTACATCCCACAGAATAGACAGGTGTCCTCTACCTGCAACTCTGCCCCAACCGCCCCAGTTTAAAGGTCAAGTCTGTGCCCCCTACCCCATCCTAAAGTCTCCTGGGGTCTCTGCCTGCTGCCTTCCCCATTCCTTTCTCAGAACCCTCCCCAGTTCTGCCTGTGAACTCCACGTGGAGGAGCGGCGCTGGGAAGCTGTCCAGGTAAGAGCAGGGGTGGTACTGACTAGATTCACACACTCCACTCAGCTGAGGCACCGCCCCTTCTGGTGTGTGGCCTCTGGCCTGGAAGGGTGCTTCTGGGACCACATCAGGCTCCCCTTCTGCAGGTGAGGGCTCCTGGCACTCGAGATCTTCTGGATCTAGGGCAAAAAAAGAGTTGGTAAGTGTTTTGCAGAGAGCTAATCTAGTTCCTGGCAAGAAGCTGTTCAGAGGCACAGGCGTAAGCGGGGGCTGGTTTCCAGGCTCCTCCGTGAGTGTCCTGCCCCCGGCTCTGCCTCAGAGGAGTTCGTGGTGCTCTCTTGGCCTTCTCCAGAAACCTAACTCCTCCTTCACTCACCAACCATTTCCTCCTCCTCACAGTCTGGGAGGGGTGTGCCGACAGGTCCACCAAACAAACCCTTTCACTCTGCCAGGCTTTCTGGGTCACTCAGCCTGTCTGAACCTCACTTTCTCCATCTGTTAAGTGGGAGTGATAAGACTGACCCCACAGGGTTTCGAGCAGGTTAAATGAGATAATACGTGTGAAAGTCGCAGGCGGCAGGCGCTCTGTGATGTCAGGGGAATCACTGTACACCAGTGGCCCTCGCACTTTGGTGTAGTTTAAAAAAAAAAGGCCCAGGCTACATCCTACTTCATCAAACCCAGGTCTCTGTGCTTTTCTATGGACTGGCCAGGTGATTCTGACACACAGCTGTGCGGATCTCCCACCACGGCCGTTGTTAAGTGTTTGTGTGTGGCGGGGTATGAGCAGGGGCTGCTAGGGGTGGGGTCCTGCTGGCACCTGCCCCTCACCTCTCCCCACACTTCCACCCCCCCACTCTGCTCAGCATGGAAAGCAATGGCGAAGGCTGAACGTCCCCTACTATGCCAGCCTGTCCGCAACAGACAGGCCACATGGCAGCCCTGTCTGAGAGGAAGGCTCTGTTACCATGGCGACACCAGGCCTGCTCACCAAGGCTGCTGGAGGTGGAGGGCCGATGGCCGCCGACACACAGGGGCAGAAAGCTGGGCCTCTTGGGCCGTCGGGTCTCTGGGCTGGCAGCCCCTGCTGCCCCCGCTTTCTTGGGTTCCTTGGAGCTGTGTTTCTTATGGTAAAACGCTCTCCTGAGGCTCAACTTTTTTTCTTGAGATTTCCTTCTGCTGAGTGGGGCCAGGTTTTCCATACACCCCTCTTCCTCTTGGACTTGAAGTTGCTGTGGGAGAGATGAGAGAAACTGAGTCAGGGCCCCTGACCTTGAGGAGTGAGCTGGGGTGAGGGTGAGCTGGGGAAAGAGACCCATGGAGGGCTAGCAGGTGTGGCCCAGAGAAGGGTGGCTGATGCTCAGTGCTGGGGAAATGTGTGTGGTCTGGAGGGGGCTGGGGAAGCTTCAAGATGGAGAGACTGGGGCCAAGTGCAGTGGCTCATGCCTATGATCCCAGCACTTTGAGAGGCCGAGGTGGGCGGAACACCAGGGGTCAGAAGTTCGAGACCAGCCTGACCAACCTGGTGAAACCCTGTCTCTACTAAAAATGCAAAAGTTAGCCAGGTGTGGTGGCACACACCTGTAGTCCCAGCTACTCGGGAGGCTGAGGCAGGAGAATCTCTGGAGCCCAGGAGGTGGAGGTTGCAATGAGCCATGCTTGAGCCTCTGTGCTTTAGCCTGGGCGACAGAGTGAGACTTGATCTCCAAAAAAAAAAAAAAAAAAAAAAAAAAAAAAAAAAAAAAATGGAGGGACCGGAGCAGGGCTTTGGCAGGACACAGAGTACAGGAGGGGCAGGACGTTGTTTCCCAGGCAGGGTTGGGAGCCCACAGTGAGGTCAGGGCTACGTGGGGGGAGCATTTTCCTCACCTCCTCTCCTCGCTGTTCTTCTGCATCTTGAAGCATGGAAATGATCTTCTGAATGAATTCTCCTGAAAAAGATCAGCATGCACGGTTACACTTCAGGGCTAGAAAAGCTCTTCTATGATCATTCTTCATTTCCTTATGCCCAGCTGGCTCCCTGGGTGATTCTCCAGGGGGTGAAAGAGCTGCCAGAGGTGGCCTGAGGGCAGAGCTGCCTTCATGGGGCCCATGTTCACTTTCCCAATGAGGGCCTCCAAACAGACACCCAGGAGGAGGCCCCTCAGGGCCATCTGGAAAGGCCTGTTCCCTACAGGTGCTCTCACCTTGCGCCTTCCCCCGTTCAGGCAGAATTCCCCTTTAAAGCACATTTTCTATGAAAAGCAAACAAGGGCCAAGCATGGTGGCTCACGCCTGTAATCCCAGCACTTTGGGAGGCTGAGGCAGGCAGATCACAAGGTCAAGAGATTGAGACCATCCTGACTAAAACATGGTGAAACCCTGTCTCTACTAAAAAAAAAAAAAAAAAAAAAAAAAAAGTACAAAAGGTAGCCGGGTGTGGTGGTACACACTTGCAGTCCCAGCTACTCGGGAGGCTGAGGCGGAAGAATCACTTGAACCAGGGGTGGAGGTTACAGTGAGCCGAGATGGTGCCACTGCACTCCAGCCTGGGTGTCAGAGCGAGACACTATCTTAAAAAAAAAAAAGGAAAAGCAAACAAGGCAGAATGGCAGGGTGTAGGAGGCAGAGATCTTTCCAGATCTTTTCAGATGTGATGGTGATCATATATACATGATTGCAGGCCTGGCTCTGCCAATGATAAAATAGCAATTACAGTGATGGCAGCTGCCCTTAGCTGAGCTTCCCTGCTACAGCTCCTACCCCTCTCCCTCTCCTCTTTACTTCTGAGCTCTCTTCTCAAGCTGGGCCACCCAACAACGACAATAAGAGCAATAGATGGCAGCTAACACATATTAGCCACTACCAGGGGCTGTCCTACATGCTGTAGAGGCAGGAGTTCATTTAGAGCTGCCAACAGTTCTAGAAAGCAGGTACATTGCTGTCCCATTTCACAGATGAAGAAACTGAGACCAGAGATGAAGTAACTTGTCCAAGTGCACATGGCTCAAAGGGATCAGAGCCCAGATTCAAACCCAGGCCCATAAGATCACCCCATCAGCAAGCCCTTGGTGAGGTGAAGGGAGCATTTTCCTCCCCTTACTTCCTGTCGGCCTCATCAGGGTGAGTACCAACGCTATTGCCATTTATTGAGGTATAGACAGGCAGCCTGGCTTGGGACCCAAGCTGCCTCCCCAGCCTGCTATTCTCAGAGGGAGGTCTGGACAGGCCACTGCCTCTCTCTGGCTCAGTTTCTCTTCTGCAAGTGGAGGGGTCAGAGCAGAAGTTTTCCAAGGGATCTCTGAGAAAAGGAGAGGAGTACTGACTGTATTCTGAGGCTCTGTCCGGCTGAAGCTCCTCTCCAGGTCCCAGGCTCTCTGGTGGGGTTGAAAGCTTGCAAGGACCTGGAGCCTCAGCCTCTGTAGACAGGCTCTCCTGGACTTCAGGTTCTTCCAAGCCTGAGAAGCAGAATGAAAAAAGGGAGTGTGTTTTGTCCATCTGGGCCTGTTAACCATGCATAGAAGCTAGCACAGACTCTAAAGTGGGTTCCATGGCCAGATCAGACTAAGGCCTTATGGGCTGGCACAGAGCTGCTGGGTAGAACTGTGTCTCTGATTTACTGGGCCAGACCAAGCTCTCCTATCCCTTTGTGCTTCCATAGAACTGGCTTTTCTGGGCTTTGTTGCCCTCTCCTCCCTCCCTTGGAGCCCTCCTCCCTCCACCATTTTGACTTGATCCACAAGTTGAATGGTAGAAGCCTGGTCCCATGGCATGAATTGATGAATCACAGCCAGAATCCCCCTGCAGGAAAATATCTCCCCAAGTGGCGTGAAATTGCCCTCTTTGGTGTTAAGCATCACTCCCTCCTTTGTAAGATGTAAATTCTCCTGACCAGGATGACCTGTTCTCCCTGATGCCCAGGAAGAAATGACTTGTCTGATCCTTTCTCCTTCTAGCTCTGGCCCCACCATCCGTGGGCCTTGTGACCTTGAACACATTGTTTCAGCTCCCAAAGCTTCGGTCCCTTCACCTGGGAGGTGCGGATCATAGCTGCACTTCATCTGATGGCTGTGAGGACTGGATGAGTTATAGATATGCAGCAGGGAAATGTCTCACTTTACAGGTGAAGCAACTGAGGCATAAAGATGGGGAATGACATAGACAATATGCTAGGACCCAGGTCCCCTGCCTCCCCTACTCCGGCTCCTTCCTACACACCTGACTCCCCTCCCTGCCAGGGGGCAGAAGCCGAGGCAGCCAAGAAATGTGTGGATGGCTGGGGAATCCCGGAACACAATTTCCCTCCAGGGCTTATTGGGGTGGCCTAGACCTGGCTGAGGTTTTGAGTGTGGAGGTGACCTGCCGGCTTTCTCTCTCTCTTCCCACGGTCATCCTCACGCCACTCAGTGCAGAGTGCAAAAGTCAGATCAGGCCCAGCACAGCCTTAAAAGGGGCCAATTCCATCCCGGGGGAAGGTTGCAGAGCTGGAGGCAGCTGCAGGGTTGCTATGGCAACTGCAGAGCCTGCTCACCATAGCTGCTGGAGACGGAAGGCCGATGGCCGCCGACACACAGGGGCCGGAAGCTGGACTTCTTGGGTGGCCGGGCCTCTGGACTGGAAACATCTGCAGGCCCCCTCTTGGCCTCCTCGGAGCCATGTTTCTTAAGAGAAAAAGTTCTCTTGGGGCTTGTCTTTTTCTCTTGGGATTTCTTCCTCACAGCTGCTGTTGGGTTTGGCAGGACCACCTTCGGCTGTGAGGCCTGAGATTGCTGTGAGGGACAGGAGAGAAACTGAGTCAGGCTCATACATTGCGGAGAAGGGGAAAGCTCTCCGAAAGCAACTGAAGAGCACCCGAGTGACAGGATGGCCCCAGGTGAGGGGAGGCAGCAGAGCCCAGAGCGCACGCAGGGCTGAGTTCTGAAGCTGCAGAAGGAGGCTTCAGGGAAGGAAGGGACGAGGGCCGGGCGTGCAAGGACAGGTGGAGTGTGGCAGAGGAGGAGGAGAAAGCTGAGAGCCCCTGGAGATCGGCCAAGTTCGCTCCTCACCTCTTCTTCCCACTGGTCTCCCACTCTTTTGAGAAATTCCACTATCATCTGAATGATAGCATCCTCTGGAAGAAAGCAAATGCACCCGGTTATTCTTTCTAAATGCACAGGCAACTCCTTCGAAATGACCATCTCAGACAGTTCTCTTAAACGACTCTTTAGGCCACACAACAGAGGGAAACACCACATCCCAGGGCAGGTCCTTCTGAAAGAAGTTTGGAAGATCCGCCAGGGGAGGTGCTAAGCCAAATCATGAGACTTTATGCAGGAAATTTCAGGTCAGCCCTTTAGGCATTCAACTTGTGCACTCCTATTTCCTTTGAACTTCACAGATCTACTTTGGGTTCCGTAAGCTGTGTGACCTTGAATAAGTGTCTTAACCTCTCTGGGCCTTCATCTCTCCCAGCGAAATGTGGGTCATAATCTTTGTCCTGCCTCCCTCAGAAGGCTGTCAGGCCATCAAATGAGGGACTGGGCTTGAAAACACTTTGCAAGGCTAATGCCGATCTTCCAACCTGCAAAATTTCAGTGGCGAAAATGGTGGATACCCGGCGTAACTAAGGTGGAGGATGGAAGGACGTCACTGATGCCTCAGCCACGCCCTCACATCTGCACGGAGAAGCCACTCCAATGAAAATGGTTTCCTTTGATACGCCAGTCAGCCTATTCAAGGACAATGTCCCCACACTGTCCTCTGCTAGGTGCCAGCTGATGAGTTGACATGAAAAGAGATGCAAACAAATTCCCTGTCCCCACGCTGCCTGTGGGTTTGCTTTTTTTTTACTCCTAACTTCCCTCTCTCACTTCCCGCTCACTTATAAATTGGCTTTTGTTGCCTGACTCAGCTACCGGCAGGTTATCTCTCATGTAAGAAAATGATCAGCTGCAGAATAACTAACTAAATGCCTTTCAGTTATTCTTTGTCACATGCATAGCTCCTTTATTTCACATATTATAAAATAGGCTCATCCTTTTTACAGAGAGTTAGATAAATAGGGTATTATTCTCGATGTATTCGGAGCATTCATGGTATTGTGGTTTAGTGTGAGATTGCACTTCTTTTTTGGAGATGCATGTTGTTTAAGTATTTGGGGATGAAGCATGATTTACTCCAAAGTGATTCAGCAACAAAATGATATATACATGAAGCAAACTGGCAGAGTTTAACAACTGTGAGCGTACAAGGGTGCACTGAACTATCCTTTTCACTCTTCTATATATTTTTAAAGTAAAATAAATTTTAAAAGACTAAGAAAAGTTCCAATCCCATTAACACAGAAGGCAGCAGCATTTTCCAGCAGCCTTTCCAATTCCCCAGCCTCCCTTCCGTGAAATTCTAAAATAAGCAGATGTGGCCAGAAGCACCAAAAGAGGCGAGAAAGACCAGTGCGTGTATTTTGAGAGCCACCATCCAAGATCTCAGTGATCATTCAGGATAATCCATCTCACTCAGTAACAGCCACCTCAGCCACAGGTAAAAAGGTCACTAGAGATTCCGACTCACCGTCAGGCTTTCTGAGCTCCTCTTCTTGCTGGTGACCTGTGGCTTGGGGAGAAACATCCAAAGCTCCAGTGCCATCTGCTCTGATGAGGAAGGACTGACGATCAGAGTCTTCCCCACCTGGAATAGAGACGAAAACCAAAGGGTATGTGGGTGTGAATGTGCATGTGGCAGTGACATTCTCCTGACTTTGTTCATCAACATGAGAAAACAGCATAGAATTCACAGTGCAACGGGCACTGTTGCAGCCAGGCTTAACCAAAAAAAGTCGGAAACCCATTAAGGTTTTTATTTGAAAAGAGGCTGCTTCCACCAAGGCACGTCTCTCACTAGCCCCTCCCCTCAGATCCTCAATCTTCTCCCCATCATAAACACTGAGTTTTGAGTGCTGCAAGGCAGAGCCCCCTCTCCCTCTCGGTGCCTGTGGGCATTCAGTTCCAGAACCTTGCAAGGTAGAACTGGAAGTCACCTTGGGAGCCAGCACCCTCATTTACATGTGTAGAAAGTAAAAAGTTCTGCTTCAAAATTTCCCTTCTTGTTAAAGAATAATAATAATAAATGTTAGAAATAACAGTTTCTTTTAAAGACTAACTTTCTTCAAAGCCTTCTTGCTTTTTGCTACTAACTCTTTGTTGAGCCCTATCCTATGTAGCTGTTAGATATAAGGGAATAAGTGCATTCTATGTCCTTGTACTTTAACCAAGATATTTGTGCTGGATGTGCTCACAGGCATGTCCCAGCTGGCAGCCTCTGCCCCTTCCTTATTTGGGAATGTTATTACTTTTCTCTGTCCTTTCGCAAGCAACTTTCTCTTTTCCTTTGTTCTCCATTGCCTTTATCTATTTGGGAAAGTTTTAAGTTGTTAGCCAGTCGGGTTTAGTTTAGATTGTGAGGTCCAGCTCCAACCAATGGAGATCAGACACAGCAGTAAGGACCTAATGTGTAAGGAATAAATATGCCTGCCTTTCCTTTGTTCATTGTACTCTCATGGCAAGATGGCTGATGAACAGTACCCTTTCTGCAGAAAGTAAAATTGCCTTGTTGAGAAAACTTTTTGTCTGAATGCTCATTTTTCCTTGCATTACCTAGGAACAAGAAACAATTCTGTCTCTAACATGGGAAATCAAAAGTTCCAGAGATGGCAGCTCAAGCTCAAGGTCACACAGCAAGTTTACTCCTGATAGAGCCAATCTAGAACCAAGGCCTGGAAGCAGTAGCCCAGAAGCACATAGGAACAAACAGGGCTTCCCTCCTCACCCCAATCCCTGCCTTCTCATTTCTCCTAGGTCTGTGCTCCTGAAACTAGAGTACTTGGCAATAACAGCTACCATGCACTGAGCTCTTTCCTTGTGGGCTGCGGCCACTCCGTGAGACAGTAACTATTTATCTTCATTTTAACCATGAAAAAAGTTGAATCTCAGAGAGGAAAGCTGCCGCCCCTGGCCACACAGCTGGGGAGCAGCAGCACCACAAGTGGTTCTCCTGGAGCACTCAGCCATGGTGCCGTTCCACCTCAAAGAATTGTCACAGTGGGCCAGATGCAGTGGCTTATGTCTGTAATCCCAGCACTCTGGGGGGCCACGGTGGGTGGATCACTTGAGTCCAGGAGTTCAAGACCAGCCTGGTCAACATGGTGAAACCCCGTCTCTACCAAAAAAATACAAAGATTAGCCAGGCATTGTGGTAGATGCCTGTAGTCCCAGCTATTTGGGAGGCTAACACAGGAGAATCGCTTGACCCTGGAGGCGGAGGTTGCAGAGAGCCAAGATAATGCCCTTTAGCCTGAGCAGCAGAGCAAGACTCCATCTCAAAAAAGAAAAAAAGAAAGTGAGAAAGAGAGAAGGAGAAGAGAGAAAGAGAGAAAGGAGGAAGGAAGGGGGGGGACGGAGGGAGGGAGGGGAGGAAGGAGGGAAGTAAGTAAGTCATAGTGGTACGGCCCCTGACAGCTCCCCAGACTATCCCCGTCCCCTCTGTGAAGAGGCTCCTGGAGCAAGTTTAGCGCACCCTAGGGGTTGCCATAGGTACAGGCAAGGTCCACTCACCCCTGTGAGCTGGGCCCAGGTCAGCCTCCCCAGAGCGCGAGGCAGCAGCTGTCCTGGACAGCCCTTCCTCTCGGCCTCCGGCCTCCTGGTCTTGAGCTGCCTTATTCAGCTCGGCCATGTGTTTCTTGTGACCTTGCTTCTTGCGGCTGGCCTTCTTGTCGTGGTGGGCTCTCTTCCTGAGGGCTGGCTCCCCCGGTGCCTCTGGGGGCTCTGGAGGCTGGGAGACATCCTCCTTCCCCCTTGGCCTCCTGCTGGCCTTTTCTCTGGGCTCCTCATGGCCCGTCCTCAGTAAGAAGAAGTTCAGCATGGTCTTCAGCCACCCCTGCTGGGCCCACCTCTGGGCCTTGTCCCTCTTGGTGTCTTGTGGAGGCCTCTGCTCACCAGGGAGAAACTCTCCGGTCTCCTCCGGAGTGAGGGCTGCAGCAGTGGCGCCCTGAGCCTCTGCAGGCGGAGCTGGGCTCTCCGAACGTCTGGCCCAGTCACTGGCTGTCCAGTGAAGCGCCTTCCTGGTGGGGGCAGTGGGCAGCGAGAGGCAGTGGCAGTCCCGCGACTCTGAGTCTTTCCTGGGGGCCGATGGCCTGTCCAGAGACTTGGCTTTCCTCTCCGTCAGGGGCCTCCTCGGGCGCCTTGGATTCTCCATCAGGCTACAACTGAAACAAACAGTTCCCTTAGTTTTGTTTGGTTGTTTGTTTTCATTGTTGTTGTTTTAAGACGGAGCCTCGCTCTGTCGCCCAGGCTGGAGTGCAGTGGCTCTACCTCAGTTCACTGCAACCTCCGCCTCCTGGGTTCAAGCGATGCTCCTGCCTCAGCCTCTTGAGTAGCTGGATGACAGGTACATGCCACCACGCCCGGCTAATTTTTGTATTTTTAGTAGAGATGGAGTTTCACCATGTTGGCCAGGCTGGTCTCGAACTTTTGACCTCAGGTGATCCACCCCCATCAGCCTCCCAAAGTGCTGGGACTACAGGCTGGGACTACAGACGTGAGCCACTGCACCCGGCCAAACAGTTCCCTCAGCAGAGGCCTCCTGGGCACACCGAAGCTGGCTCCCAGCACTGCCCAGTGGCTCATTCACTCTGCTCACTAACGTGAGTAATGTCAGCCCCTCGTGTCAACAATTTCTCAAAGCTGTTGTCTTGTGCAAATTCCCCCAGAACCCTTGGGGAATGGGGGTCACTGTTCTCATTTTCCAGTGGATGAAAGTGAACCACAGGGAGATCCTGCTCAGATCTCAGGGCTGGTCAGCTGCACCTCCAGAGCCCCTGAAAGGAACACAGCCCTGCCCACACGTAGGTTCTAGTCCATCAAGACTGATTTGGGACTTCTCCTCCAGAACCGCATGATAGTTAATTCATCTTGTTCCAAAGCCACTGCGTCTGGGGGCTTCTGTTACGGCACCAACAGAAAATGAATACAGCCGGAGCCAGAGGTCTAGGCCTGCCCCTCACTAGCCTTGGGACTTTGGGCAGCTCAGGCACCTTCTCTGGCCCCATGTTCTCCTCTGAAACATCCCTGAGCCCTGCCCTACCTCACAGGCTGCCATGAATATTCCACCAGGCAGCTCTGTCAACGGTAACTCTTCTCTTCTAACTGCTCAAGCCAAAAATGTAGTCACTCCTGACTTCTTTCTTTAAAATATATATATATATATATATATATATATATATATATATATATATATATAAAAAATAGATATGGGGTCTTGCTGTGTTGCCCAGGCTAGTCTCAAACTCCTGGGCTCAAGCAATCAACTCACCTTGCTCTCTCAAAGTGCCGGGATTACAGGCATAAGCCACTGTGCCAGCCTCCTTTCTTCTACTCCCACATCCACCCATCAGCAGAGCCTTTTGGTCTCACTCTCTTAGAGCCTCTCCTCACCCTGACGGCCCCCTGTGGTTTCTAGGTCCCCACCTGCACTCTCCTGAACTGTTACCATCACCTCCAACTGATATCCCTGCTCTCCTCTTGCCCTCCTTACAGTAACTTCTCCACTTAGCAGCTGTGGGACTTAAAAAATGAATGTTACGGCTGGGCGCGGTGGCTTACGCCCGTAATCCCAACACTTTGGCAGGCTGAGGCAGGTGGATCATGAGGTCAAGAGATCGAGACCATCCTGGCCAACGTGATGAAACCCCCGTCTCCGCTAAAAATACAAAACTTAGCTGGGAGTGATTTTGTACTTAACTGAGCCTGTACTCCCAGCTACTCCAGAGTCTGAGGCAGGAGCATTGCTTGAACCCGGGAGGCGGAGGTTGCAGCAAGCCAAGATTGCACCACTGCATTCCAGCCTGGCCACCTGGTGATAGAGCAAGACTCTGTCTCAAAAAACAAAAACAAAAGTTATTTCCCTTCCTCCAAGTGTCCCCTTTCACTCACAGTCTTTACAGTGGCTGGCACACCGCACACCTTCCAGCCTCCATCACTCCTCTGACCATGTCTCACACACTCCACTTCACGCACACAGCCCTGTTTGCTGTCCTTCAAGCCCGCCTGCCTCCGGGCCTTCACACTGGCCAGTCCCTCTTTCTAGAACATTCTTCCCTCGTGGAAAGAATGAGTTTGTTCATGGTTTGCTCCCTCACTGCCTTGAGGGCTCTACTCCACGGTCACCTTTCCATCGAGGCCCCCGCCCACTCCCCATCGGCACACCCTTTCCCCTCCTGCCCCACGGCCTGGTGGCGTGCAGTGCCGTGTCTTTATGGGTTTAGTGGTTTACTGTCTGAGTCTGTCTCCATCTCCTGGGCCTATTTTGCTGGGTCTTCTATCTTTGAGTGTCTAGAACAATGTCTGGCATATCACTGCCACTCAATAAGCACTTATTAAGCAAAGGAACAGATGCGTAACACATTTAGTAAATGGCACAACACTTAAGGTGTCTTTGGATGTATGGGTAGCATGAAATCAGTGCTTTTGGGCCAGTCTCATCTTGGAGTAGCAGGGGCCCTTCCATTCTCCATCCAGAATGAAGCAGCACCCAATGGAAAAAGATTTTAAAAAACAAACAAAAACCTTCCCCTCCTGGGTGGCGTTTCAAGCACGCCTAGGGTGTGGGCAGTGCACTTGATTTGTGTGTCTTTAATCTAAAACTCTTGGGGCTTTCCAGTTTTTCTAGAGTTGTCCAGAAACCCTCTTCCCTTCAATGGAAGGTAAAGAAAAATAAAATAATAGCCAGGCACGGTGGCTCAAGCCTGTAATCCCAGCACTTTGGGAGGCCAAGGCGGGTGGATCATGAGGTCAAGAGATCGAGACCATCCTGGTCAACATGGTGAAACCCCGTCTCTACTAAAAATACAAAAAATTAGCTGGGCGTGGTTGCGTGTGCCTGTAATCCCAGCTACTCTGGAGGCTGAGGCAGGAGAATTACTTGAACCCAGGAGGTGCAGGTTGTGGTGAGCCGGGGTCGCGCCATTGCACTCCAGCCTGGGTAACAAGAGTGAAACTCCATCTCAAAATAAATAAATAAATAAATAAATAAAAAAGAAAAAGAAAATATGGTCCTGAATTCCAAACCTGAGCCCCTGGAGAGTCCTATGCAGTTTAGGACCACGGGTTGCCTGCTCTAATTTGTCATTACAGCTTTAGCCTGCATTCACCAAGTCATGTAGTGGTAAGGGATGTACTCTAAAATGTATTCTATTGCTATGCTCAGCTTAGAGGCAAAAATAAGAATCTATAATTGCAATTTCTTATGTGTGGGATCCACAGGAAAGTGAAGAAGATACAGAGAAAGAAGAAAAGAAATGGGAACACACAGATTTGAAGGTGGCACGAACATTTGGGATGCCTTCCCTCCTTTAAGCACCAGTGTGGGAAGGACAACAGACAGGACTGCAGCCCCAGGTCGCCGAGGTCAGAGGCTATTGGGGCCAGGTGTCCACACGTGGATGACATTGGAGGAAAGGAAAAATCAGGCAGGGGAGGAGGCAGGCAATTTGGAAGGCCTTATTTGTCATTTAATGTCCCTTAAAAGGAGCACATGGGCTACATGGAAACTTTTAGCAATACGTGTCTGTACCTTACATGGAAATTCACTAATGTTCCTGAAAGGCTCAGACTCTGAGCCTTTTATCCGGCCCCTGCCGAACTTCAGGAAGGGGCACCTCTTTCACTGGTGGTCACAGCATCCGCATCCCGTGCTCCTGGAGTCTGTATGTGGCTGCACCGCAAAGCGCGGCATCGCTCACGTACAGTACTACATCCGGTGACGTGGGACGCACGCGTCACGCCTCCAGAAGTGCATCATATGACGCACATCCGGTCTGTGGCTGCGGCGCCCCACATCACTGGAAGCAATGTGAAATAACAGCAGAAGTAGGAAGAAAGGCAAAGCACTATAACCAGTACTACACAGTACAATGGCCCCCATACTCCCCCAAATGTACAACAACATAATGGCCCCTATAACCTCCCTTTGCCCAAAAGTCTCCCCCCACATTACTACACACCGTGTTTCCCCTATTATAAGACCCTGTCTTATATTAATTTTACCCCCAAAAGACGGGGGCTGTCTTATTTTTAGGAGGTGTCTTATAATAGGGGAAACATACAGCAGTGGGCTTCCCACAGAAGAGGCCCACCGCTGCTACAGATGTCCAGGACGCTGTATACACAGTGTCACGGGCTGATCACCGCCATCCCTGTATGCAGCACTGGAGGCGGTGCTGGGCCTGTGACACTATATACCGCTGTCTGGGATAGTGGAGGCAGCAGCACTGGCTGTGAAGGGTGTCACACCTTGCATAGTCCGGCCCTCCAACGGTCTGAGAGACAGTGAACTGGCCCCCTGTGTAAAAAGTTTGGGGACCCCTGGCTCAGAGACTGGTTGCCTTACGGTTGTGTTTCCGAAGACAATGCGGAGTAGCATAAGGAGAAGCAATCACAGAGGAAAATATTTATGTTTGTTCTTGCTTATTTCGCACAACAAACATTTAATAAGCACCCACTCTGCACCAGAAATGATGCTCGGTGCTAGGGATACCATCATGAACGAGGTGCAGCACGTGCCCCCAGAGGGAATATTCTGGTCTTCTCTGAATGCACAGGAGTAAGGATGTGCGTACACAGGGATGACAGCAGTGTTCCATTCCCCTGCATCTGCTCTCTTCAGAAGCACACGGTCTTCAGAGAAGATAAATTTAGGTTGAAGTTCTGTGTGATTTAAGATCACATTTAAAAAAAAAGTGAGCTGAGCCAGAAATATTTACTGAATGGTGTCAGGGTTCTCTCTGCATTTCCCATATGTTCCTGTGGTCAGGGCACATTGGATGGGATTGGCAGAGAAGCTGTTCATTAACAAAACCACAGAACGAGGACACTCTCGCTCAGCTCAGACCCTCTTCTGTCTGCACAGACCTGGCTCCATGGGACCCATCGCACAGAGGGCCGGCGCTTCCTTACCCAGTTAATGGGAAGAGAAACAGTCATCTTAAAAAGCTGTCATTGCTATGGAAACGGTTTTCGCCATTGCCGATGGTGGCAGTATCCTCCTACCGCATTCCAAGGACATGCTGCTCCTCACTTAGCTCAGCTCCTCTGGTACCTTAACACAATCCCACCAGCAAATGCTTTCCCTGATGTTTTTTCAAGAAAGCTGCCTTGATTTGGCCGCTCCCTTCCTGGAATAAGCAGTGCTCTGGGCCC